TTGAAATGCCTTGCTGCTGAAATGTGCTATACAAATAAAATTTGATTGATTGATTAGAGATTAAAAAAAATTACTTTTAACCTATGCTTTATGTTTGACATATCTTAGACTAAATAATTGATTTGTTTACTTGTAGTTCTTCAGTAATGATAAATATGATTAGAGAACAATCTTAAGTCTGAAACTTGAGGTTTTGTGTGACAAGAGTCACCACTTGGGGGCAGATTTTCACCATTTTTAAAGGACAGATGAAAACTGGGAGCAAAGGATTCAATGTCACTTTGTAGCAAAGCTTTTCCCTCTCTGTCTTCTTTCGTTCCCTCTAAATAGCTGAGGTGTGGGAGAAGGAGTTTGACACCATCATGGTCGTCCTCAGAACAGTCTATCGCCGTGATGTTCAGTCAGCAATGGACAGATACTCAGCATTGTAAGTCACCATTTCCACTATTTATCCCTAATAATTCATTTATTGTCCACATTAGACTGGGATTAGATTCACCTCTATCACCTGTATCATGAAAGAACATGATGAGAAAAGTTCAGGATCGGTGACCGCTGCATCTGCTGGAATGGGTTCCAATTAAATGACCAACCTCAACAATCCTTTTTTCTCTCTGAAATGCAATTGAATTGTGAAAATTCATCTTGTTGACTGCGGCTCAGATGCCTTTCAGGTCAACATTGTTTGGAGGTGGAAGAATTAACTAAAGGATAATTTTCTTCAAAAGTTTTCAGAATGTGTGAAAAGGTTGCTAATATGATTTCAAGAAGAGAGGAATAAACTTTTGAAAGTGTTTGGGGCAATTTCCTTCCTTTATGCCAATTTTATGCAAATAAATTAGGTGTTGATAACAGTGACTTTACTTTGTACAGCAAGAAAGAACTCTGGTCACTTTGGGATCTTCTCTAGCATTTTATTAAAATGACCTTCAGATTGCAGTTTTGGTAAACTCTTGTGCTCTTAAACCTTAATGTATCTTGATGCATGTAGGTGACAGAATGAAATAATGGTCTAATAGCCGTATGATTAGCTGGATGGCATTCTAATTAGCACAACCCTCCACAGCTGTTGGTTTTTAATGCGTCTATAATATAATTGAGCTACAACTTTTAAGACAATTGATAGGTATAAAAATATAAACTAATCAGATTTTTTTTAAAGATTGACCTGCTGTCTGATCTTTTCTTTTGTATTTTAAATGATGATTGTACTAATTTCAAATAAAAATGTCTTTTCTGTTGTTTATTCTGTGCTTAAGTGCAAACAATAGTGTGATGTATTTCTCCTCGCAACATGTGAAACTGTTATTCCCACCTTCAGTGTGATAGCAGCCTCCCGTTACTCATTTACTCCGACTGTGATGGATTACACGTCACACTGACCCAGTTCTTGTTAAAATGATGCAGTCATCACTAAAAGAGTGCTCTTGCATAGACTGAAACCATTTTGTAAATCAATTAGCGGCTGTGAAGGTTTTATTTCAAGTATTTGTTCTTTTTTTTTTTCTTCTAATCTTCTCTTTCTCCTTCTCTTTTGTGACGGCATTATCTAGTTTGAAACAGTATGGCATCCATACTGGAAACCCATGGCCACCTTACAAAGAGAGGACTCCTCTGCATCCTTGTTACAAAGGTTTAACCCGACTGTTGCATTGCAAAACCCTGCACATTGTGATATTCACTCTACTTTACAAGGTGAGCCTGTTTTTCATCCCGGTTTACACTTTGATTTTTCAGTTGATTGGTACGGATTTGTTATAAGGAAAGCCTGAAGTACAGGACCTATAAAACTGCTCCACAAATCGATAGTCAGGCTGTGTAACAAATGCTTTCCATAGTTTTCCAGTAGGAAAACTATTAAACCTGAATATTGTTTTCATTTTATGTTATAGATATGGATGGATCACCAGAACATGTCTGAACATGTGCTGTGCATGGTCCTCTACCTGATTGAGCTTGGCTTGGACAACCAGGTTCAAGACAACAAAGAGGATGAGGTACAATCTGTGCAGCATCAAAACATTATCCTTCATTTGTCTTAGTTCTCATTTTGTTCACAAATTCTTCATGCTTCGTCTTCCTTTACCTTCCCGTTACAGGAGCCCTGCATTGAGGAGCACTGCCATGACAGCTGGTTCCCGGGCACCAATCTGCTTTCCAATCTGCACCACGTCATCAACTTCGTAAGGGTCCGGGTTCCTGAGACGGCGCCCGAAGTGAAGAGGGAGACCCCTCCCAGCACGAGCGCTGAAGCTTCTTCTTATGGCCAGGCAAGTGATGCTGGACGCTTAGACCACATTTACTGCCATACATTGACAATGTTATAAACATGTAGCTGTATGATTTTACAACACTTTACCATACAGTTAATGGTAATTTAAAAACCACTAAACTCTACATCTCTATTCTGTATAAATGTAGAAAACAGCATATCTGAAATGCCAGTAAAACCAGCACCAATTCCCTCTGCTCGAATTTGCAGGGTATCCATCTTTACAACGAAGCTGTGACCTTTAACATGTAGACTATGTAACCCAGACATGTTTTAAGACTCGTCTAGTGTTTCGTTCAGTTAAGGGGCCGGCATTAAGCTGGGCACCGGACATGAGGAGAGCCACGGCAACTAAACATTTCTTTGTGATTTAACCAGGGGGAAGAAAATACTGTTCATGAATAAGGAAGCCTTCCTTCAGCTGTACTGTAGTTCAACTCGTATCTGTATTTCCAGACTGCCGTAGCTCGACAGGTAGCTTCCTCTTTAAACGTATTTTGCTGTGCTCTTGCAGAACTCCAGGCGTCTCTCAGGAAATTGGAGAGAGGTAGCTGTCTGCACCCATTACCATAAAAACAGTCTAATTACTTTAATGGCACTAGCACCAGCTGCTGCATTTGTCTATCTTATCTCTGGTATGGAAGCATCTCTTTGCATGTGTTTGGTGGTTTGTGTTTTCCAAAGGAGCCCTGCCTCGGTGTGTTGAGGCGTGAATATAATGCTGTGCTCCAGCAGTTTCCCTACCTCCCTGTTGACTGCTGAAACTAATTATGTGTGCAATGCAGGTTTTGGTGTAAACGATTTTTAACCGCATGTCAGTATGATTGATGGTGGCTTGACTGGACTTTATGATGTATGTTTATTTAAGAGAGCAGCTCGGGACCTTTTCTGTCAGCCTAGGTCATGCCAATCCTTCACAGGGCTTGTGTGTTTTACATCAGGGCGATTCTAATTTTTTTTTTTTCCGCTAATATTGTTGTCATGACGAGGTGTAATGTCAGCTGAAATTTTATGGCGGTCATTTGTTTTGGGTTGCATTGGATCTGTCAGGTTATGGTAATAAGGCTCCAGGCTAATCCATCAAAATCCAAGTGAGCAGTAATAAGGCTGTGTTAGGAAAGCTTATCTGTACCAAAATAGTTCTACAGTGCACGTAAAATTTGATGCTTTCTCTTGCTTTGCTGTGAAGATCTTTGATATATTTCAAGCTCTTAAGTCAAGTACAGCATAATAATCTTTTAATGGAAAAGGTAGAATTTGCTTGATTGGTGTAGAGATCGTCTTCCCGTGAGGTTTTTGTTTACACCGCCAATGCCCGATGACCACCCCGAGACCAAAATATTTCATAAGAGAATGTTTTGAAATGTGTAACTTCAAAAAAAAAAAAAAAAAACTAAATAAATAAAAAGCAACCACGGTTTTCATTGGTTTCTTCAGAACCTACGAGAAGCTCAGGTGTTCAGCCTGGTGGCGGAGCGCAGGAGAAAGTTCCAGGAAATAATCAACAGAAGCAACACGGAAGCAGCTCAGGTCGTCAGGCCCAAGAGCTCCTCGACCCGCTGGGTCTCACCAGGCACGCCCCCCCAGCTGGTGACCGAGATCCTGGAGATCCGAGAGAGCATGCTTTCCCTCCTCGTCAAGCTGCACCAGAAGATGTCGTCCAAGCAGAACTCCCTGTCGGCCTCTTGGCTGGAGGACCCAGACACAAGCCATCACGCTCACGGAGACGGCATTACAGCCATCGAGCGGATCCTCACCAAGGCGGCCGCACGCAGCTGCCAAATCAAGCGTAACATCCAGGACATTTGTGGAAAGGTGTGTCCTCCAGTGCCGCCAAAGAAGAACAGTCCGTCTGACAAGAAAGCCATGGACAAAGAGGAAAGGTGAAGTCACTGTGTTTTATTTTGCTAAATAAGAATTTCAAATCTATGGGTTAATATTTCATATCAACTCACTCTGATTTTAAATATTGCTCATCATCTTCTTGAGGCGGGGTATTGATGAAAGATGCTCTGTTCAGAGATTTTGCCAATAGATTCCAATCAATGATTATGTAAAGCTTTTGCCTTCCTACTTCTCTTAATTTAAAAAAAACAGTTTTTTTTTTTCTTTTTGGCTAAATGTTAATATTAAAAAAATAATCTCAAGGACATAGAACTTATTTTCTCTTCATCACTGAAGTGTTCAAATAAATACTGCAGGTTATGTGAAATATAGATATTTTTTCATTCCATCTTTTTTTCTACGTCCCTAATTACAAGACAAAAAGACATTTAAAGGTTGCCTATAAAGTATATTCAAAACAAACAGCTTTTTTCAGTTTCAGATTGCAACTATACAAAAACTTTATGAAATCTAACTGTCTCTGTGGATCATAATATCAGTGTATAAAATATCAGAAAGGACTATTTGGTTAGCTTCAAGTCTCCCGCATCCATATTCTGCATAGCAATAATATATTCGGCCAGTTGAATGGACTCTGTTCTACATCAGGTCCTGTAGGCTGTAGGATGTAAGTTGCTTTTAGTGTCAAGGTTTCTAAAATTCTGACATAGTCCTGAGCACTTTGTACGAATGACAAAAGAAAAGAAAAAATCTGAAAAATGTTATTTTGGTTTTCAGGAATAAGACTGTTCTATATTTTCTTGATATTGTGCATAGCTAGTACCAGACATAAACTCGGAGCATCTGCGAGAGAGGAGAGTCTACAGTAAATATTTTAAGCTCTGTTTAGAAGTCAGCATGTCGATGTGCTTAATGTCATAAGCGTTACAAAGCGTTACAAGCGTTATTGTCTTGGCACGATGCGTTCACCGATTGGAGATGCAACGAGATTTTAAACTAAATGTTAAAACATGCAATAAAATTGCGACATCGTTGCATCCTGCAGTCTGTCACCATGTACTGGTTTAAAAAGAATCATTTTAGAATCAGATAAAATATTAAGAGATGAAAAATGGCTTGCATACATGCACAATGATCAGCTAGAAGTCTGACACGGAGTCGTGTAAAGGTGCAGATAAGCGGAAGTTGTCTGTACACAATCCAGCTTTGATGATCTCTAATGTGCAGATTGCATGCGCTCAACACAGTCTATCCCGCATGATCATTTATGTTGCAATTAATTGTTTTAACGGAGGTCGTGAAAATATGTTCGTCTGGCTCTTCTGAAAACCAAAATGTTGAATGTTGTAATTTATTCCCCTTGAAATCAGCCTCCAGTCTGTGTGCTCTGTGGTTAATGATGATAGAAACGGCTTTAGCAATCCTCTAACAACCTCCCTTTGGCGCTCGTTTCATCCCACAGAGAAAATGAGAGTTAGATTTTCTCTCTTTTAAACACATTAGATCTGTTTCCAAGCCAACCGTCGGAGAGCAACGTGGTCACTGGCGCTGAAAATCCATACGCCATTATTTAATCTGATAGCTTGCACCCTTTTAGTTATCAGTAGGGAATAATTGAGCTACTACACTTCTGTCAGCATTTGATTGTGTCTTCTTATTGGACTTCATTTACAAACTCTCCTCACCTCCTTCAGCTTTAGAGGATTAGCCCACCTTATTTATCACTATAGTGCCATCTTTAACGGTGAAAGCTTGAAAATAATTGGTAATCCTTTTGTGTGCCACAGTATTTCCAACTAGATAGAAATAATTGTAATATTTCCTTCATATTTGTGATGTAACAAACCCTCAGGAGTTAAGTAATTGATGGTTGGTACGAAACTTTATCAATGCGTTTGTCTTCGATGTAACATATTTTACATGCCTTTTTTTCTGCAATGTATTATTCAAAACTAAGCATATACTCAGTGACTGAATTATTGTAAATTTACCATTGAAATGCGTACTAATTAATAACACAAATACAGAGGTAAAATTGGTTTCAAATTCATCCTGTATTTTCTCTGTTTCAGGCGTCAGCGGGCCCGAGAGAGGCAGCAGAAACTTTTAGCTGAGTTTGCTTCAAGGCAGAAGAGTTTCATGGAAACGGCCATGGATGTTGGTGAGTCGGTTTATCTCTGCTTTTAGAGTTGGCGCTTCAAAATGACGGTCCTATGAGGATATTTAACAATGTTAAATATACGTCCTTATTAGTAAGATGTTATTGGAATAATCTTGCACAAATTGAATGAACACATTCTTGTGTTAAAGATACAGAGAGTGAAGTTTCTTCTGCTGAGTCTCTCCGTCTTGGATTCCTGTATTTCTTCCTGGAGTCAAAGTGATTATTGTCCAAAGACCTAAAAATAAATAAATGTGCTGCTGTAGCTTTGTGTTAGATGGCAACATTGCAGCAAGTGTCAAGTAGACTGCACTAAGTGCTGAAATATTTGCTAACAAAGAATGCAAAATCACAAAAATACAAATATAAATGGGATACAGGGAAAACTAGGATGAACACCTAACATTTTGATGAATTTAGTCAAAGGTCTTTGTCATATATATATATATATATATAAATAAATAAAATATCCTTAAATGCACTTAAAGCTAGGTGGCCAAAAATATTTTTCATTTTGGCCACCTAGTATATGGAGAGGTTATCTTCCTGTTGTTTTGGCTCATCTGGACGGATGCACCCACTCATATGTCCGGTTAATAAGATTAAGATCCTCTTTATTCATTTTTTGCTCTTTTCCGACTCTCCACCAGGTTGTCTATTTAAATAGTTATTAAAACTGAATAAAATGTGACAGGTTTTAGCCTCCATTATGTTACAACTCATCATCAAGACTGGCAGCCTTTTTTTTTTTTTTTTTAGATGGATACCTGATAGGAACAAACATTTCATTATCAATTTCTATTGCAATTAGTATGAAACTAATTTGTAAATAAAAATGAATCAGTCAACTAACATGCGTTATCAACAATATACTTCAACACTGTATCTATTGAAGCCTTTATCACAGTTTTATTGGATCGGTGGGACACCAACCCTTCTTGTTCAGAGAACATGTTTCTACCACAGACCTTGAAGTAAAGTGCCTTTACTTTAAAGTGAAGTAAAGTAAACCTATCATTGTTCAGATTTTATTTTCCCCCTGATGCAAGGTGAGAGGGAGTCGAGTCTGTGCATACGGTCTCTGGGGTCTATTTAGCAGAAATAGACGTGGGAAAAAGAGTATTTGTGCCTGTTGGCAGTAGGGGACATAAGATCAAAGCCCTAATAGCGAACCGGACTCTAAGGGACCACCCTGACACAGCATGGTTAGCAGCTGAATAATGGCTGCTGTGGTCAGTAGGTCCATTCTTGCAGAACTGTGCTGTGTGACGTTTATCTGCACTTTTACTGCAGTGCTGTAACTTTAGCACTTTAGTACTTGTCATATTTTCCAGATTAATGTAAGATTTGGTTCACTTGTACAAAAACAATGGTTGAACTTAGAAGAGGAGTTATATGGTGACTTTACTGTCCATTAAGTAAAGTCATTGATGTTTAGTTTGACTTTGCTTCTACGTGATATGAAAAAGATTGGAGACTTTGTCTCCAAATGACAATACAGAATAAAGTCGAGCGTAAAATCAGCAGTTGTTTCATTATAAAGAGCACTTTGTTGCAGACCAAATGTCTTTCTTGAAAACTTGGTGTTATCCAAAAACACCTCCTATTAACAATATTGAAGTATTTAAAGCCAAAGAAAAGTGTGTAAGGAGGCAAATACTTTTCTACAATACTGTAGTTACAGCTGTCACTGACTTCATAATTGGTTTGTAAGACCAGTGTTACTTAAGATCAGTCTAACATTTAGAGATTAGCTTTCATAGGCGTCCTCAGTTTATGCTTCTCTAGGTGTTCTTGCTGCTGTGCCCATTGTGCAGTTGCTCGTGTGTGTTTCTGGGTGCGTGTACGGTCAAAGGCGGCTCGGTGTGTTTGGATAGCCTGAGGCTAAGGCTGCAGCCTTGACATCCAGGTGAAACTGTTTTCCCCAGGAACACGGTGACCTCCTCTGAGAACATGTTCCTCCTAAAAGCAATAAATCAATTTCCAACACAACGTGACATTTCTGCTCAGTGTTTACTGCTCATTTTGAACAGTCCTTACCATTTTGAACTGATTTCACGTCTGTAATTAATTTCAGCTGCTAGCAAGTCGAGAGAGATTTTACTGTCTGTCATCCATTTACAGCAAGGTTCAAAAACTGTTTAAACATTATGAGCATCACAGTTGGAATTAAAATGAACCTGTTGGTGATGTGCATGATTCAGCATTGGACCTTTGCTCACTTTGGTTAAATGACAGTAAACATGAACTGCATCTGCTCGTCATATTAATGTAAAATGCGGAGGCCGATTTTTAAATCTTCATTTTTATTCTACCATTATACAACCACAAGAACGAGATGTAGCATCTGAGGGTTAAATGAAGGTCAAGAACGTTGGTCGTTTGCCACTTAAATGGATGGTTCAGAAGTTTTGAAATCGGTTCCTGTTTAGAGATTATAAGACGGCAACTTCTTGCCTCCAGTGAATAATTCAGGGTTAAACAGTGAATGGACATGCCTGAAATTTGAGAAAATATCAAATTTATTCCAATGCAACACTGATACACCCTGATATAGCAGCAATATAGGACAATCTCCTAACAAATGTCATCTCTGTAATCATATAGAATCCAAATTTGGTTTAGTTCAATCCAGTTCATTGCTGTACAACACATTCATATACTGTGATTCAAGTCCATTAATATTCAGTCAAAAGTTTAAGTATCGCTTGAACAAAAGTTTTCTTTCAGAGTAATCGGCTTAATCTAACGGTTACCTATTTTTTTTATTTGCCTCAGCTGCTGTTATTTGAATATTTTGTGTGGAAAGCTTTGTACAAATAAGTTGTCATTCTCATTTTTCTTTTCTCAATCTTGTTTTCGGGGCAGAATCTCCTGAAAATGAGGCGGCAATGGATTTGGGGTCATCGGAAGTGATGGAGTCTGAGGTTCTGTACGACTGTGTGATCTGCGGACAGAGCGGGCCGTCCACCGAGGACCGGCCAACTGGATTAGTGGTTCTACTCCAAGCATCCTCAGGTGTTAAATTCGTCCAGATTGTCCCTCTGTAGACTCCACCTATGGTGCCTTTTATTCTAAAAATGTTGAAGCAACAGTTAAATCCACATTTAAGGGAAGGATATTTATATTTCTCACCGGCATCGCTGCATCTTACCTCATTTCTCTCCTCCAGTTCTTGGGCACCGACGCAAAAGCAAACAACCCAAGCAGCTACCAACGAGCGACGAGGAGCACATATATCTTGCAGACACATGCGGCGTGGCTCATGATGTCAGGCTCACGCTGATGCAACAGTTCTTCAAAGATGTACGTGACTTACAGAAACACATATTTGGTTAAAGTTAGGTAAAAATCCGACTTCCCAAAGAGCTTTTATATGTTGCACGCCGTCTGGTAAAATTCACGTCAAAAGCATTTTTCTAAATGACCTTCCACAGACTGATTTCTCAATTTAGGATATAGCAAAATGCATCATCTCATGTCTGATTCTTTTCCACAAATTGATTTGTCAGAAACTACCCATGCACATCTCTCAATTAAAATATATAACATTTAAATGTTTGAACAAAGCAAATCTACTGGTATGTACAATAGATAAAAAACAAACATTTGTCTAAGTTTGTCCTTTTAATGCTGAGGAGTTCAGATTGCCTCTCAGCTGCAGAAGCCTCTGCAGGATAGATATCTATGAATTAGCTCTGACTGATGTGTTTTCTCTTTTGTGAATTCTGCAGAGTTCTTGTTTGCAGTCTGTGTCAATAGGCTGGGATGGAGGAGTCTATGTCCAGACCTGCGGACACACTCTGCATATAGATTGCCATAAGTCCTACATGGAGTCTCTGAGGGTAAGAAAGACTTGACCTTATGAAATTAATGCTCCTCTAACAGAAGCTGGATGCCTGTTTAGGTTGGAGATTAATGGCTCATAAACCAAACACCTATGAAACATTTTTTTTTGTTTTATATCACAATCTGTATCTTTTTTTCCTTTTAATTTGAAAGTATTAACTTTTCTGCTTATTTATTTATTTTTTTTTAGCTTATGTTTAGAACTATATCTGCAGAATCTTTTTTAATCTTGTGATGTTTTTCTTCAGAATGACCAGGTCCTCCAGGGTTTCTCTGTTGATAAGGGTGAATTTACCTGCCCACTGTGCCGGCAGTTTGCCAATAGTGTCCTCCCGTGCCGCCCTGGGCGTGGCACAGATTCGAGTGGATGGCACACACCCACGAACAAAGCGACATGCATTCTGGTGAAGGAGGTGGAGGACCTGCAGGAAAAACTCGGCCTTTTTCCAGTGAGTTTTAAATTAAGTTTATGAACGCAATATATATCGGCTTTACAATCAGTAAGCAGATGTTGGTGCCATTTGTTAACGTATTGGCATTGGTCTGAGTAAAGCTAGACTGATATTAAAAACTAATGTTTATTTCCATCTTGTTGCCATATGTTTATGTTTTATAGGGGGTTGGCCATGCGTTTGTGTTTGAGCATGTGAATAGAATAGAAATATAATTTATTGTCCCACATTATTCAGGTGTAATAGCAGAAAAGTGAAAGTGCATGTAGATTCACATAAAGATAAAAAGTATCAAGGTATATATAAATACAAACTAAATTGAAAATATAACTTTATAGTGCTACATTATTTATAACAAAATGGTTGTTATAGCAATTTCTATTTGAAGTCACTAGTTTTAAATGCTGCAGCACTTAGCTTTACAAACTTTTTTGTAAGACATTTTTGACATTTTTGATTTGTTAATATAGCAATCCATAGTTTTGAATTAAAGTAAAACCTTGAGCTTTTTTGTCTCCTGCACATATTCTCTTTTCATTAATAAAATTACCCAGATAAAAATATTTGTGTTGTCTTTTATTCTTACATTTTGCAGTCTATAGATGATTTAAACTATTTTTTCCTCTTAGACGGAGTCCAACTTGAGTAAAGAAATGGAATTGGTAATCAAAGACATCAAGAACACCACCCAGAAAAAATACATGGACTATGGCAAAAATCCTGGCTCCCCAGATAATGATTTCCTCTTCATGTACTCGGTGGCAAGGTAAGATCATAGCCCTCTAATTGTTTAAATTAGTCAATATTATTCACAAACAATTCTGTTTTTCCTGTGTTAACTGGACTTACAGACACTTGATTCAATTGTACATGGAAGAAGAGCATGTTTTGGTTTTTGAACTTGGAAAAGTGCACACCTGCGTTTAAAGTGACATTCAGGATCTCTTTCACACCTTTAAGATATAGTTACTAGCCTCGTTTCAGTAGGAGCTTTGTGATAGACAGTGTAAAAGAAACCCTCCCTTATAGCTCCTTTCATCAAGCGCCCATGTGATTTATTTAATTACTTTTTGTGATCTAGGAAGATCACGGATTTGACTGGATAAAAACAAATTGCTTATGTATCATTCCTGATCAGCTGTTCCTGATTTGGTTTGATGGGGCATATTGTAGCTCTTGAAAGTTGATCCATAAAGTAACCTTTTAAAAAAAGCCTAGTCATTTCTTTGTTTATATCACTGCTTGTCTAGATTCCTCCTTAAAATAATATTAGCGATGTACATCATTTGAGTGTGTGTACTGTGACTCCATCTTATTGGCTGGTCGTTGCATTAAAGGTCATCCTCCAGCAACACTTTACACATTTTGTGCACATTCACGCACCAGTAGCAGATGAATCCAGCAGAATAAAGGCCATCGTTTATTTTTGTTCTGTTGTAAAAGTTTGACTTTAGCAAACAATAACCATCCATGCAGACAAAGTTGGCACAGCATTAAAAGGGATCTTTAATTTAAAATATATTTTTTGTGCTTATAGCTGATGCGTGACTTATGTACATTTGATCTATTTTGTTTAAACTTAGTCTGCCATTCAAACGTTACCCAAAGATTTTGGAGAATACTCATTTGGATCAAACAAAAACAAACGAAGACTAAACAGACCCAAAGGGAAATGTTCTCTGGGTTTTTTTCTGAGCACTTTTATCTTCCACAAAGACTGGTCACAGGTAAGAGAGATGACTGACTCCCTTTGTGACCTTGGGATCCCCTCAACCAACACCATCTCCCGTTTCCAAAAAACTCAAAAGAAGCCATTTGTGTGGCGTAGCTACTTAGACCTTTTGTCCTCCCAACACTGGTACCCTCAGCCCTCTACCCTAAACAGAATGATCCCCTAAGTGTGTCTGGAAGCCTGTTGGCGCTATGAAGTTCAATGAACGGAGCAAATTGCCCGAGGAGTGGAAAATTCTTCTGTCACACGGGTGCTCTTATCAGTAAGAGCCAGATGGAGCTTCACTGTGGTTGCATTATCTATGTGAAATTGGGTTGTTTTTTTTTCTCCCAGGAAACCCAAGCATTTGCCCCTCCTCCATGGTCTGTAGGAAGAAACGGCCAGAGGTTTGGCGAGACAGGCCCAGATCAGTCCCATTCTTAGCAACACCTAAGAATATATCTGCTTTCACCATCTATGTTCTTAAATGTCTTGTTTTTTTTTAATCATTTCAAAAACAAAATTCCAATGTGAGGATGACTGCACATTTAATATTCATGGTTATAAAACTGATAATAGAACAATTTACATAAACTGACTTTGGAAGGGCTTTTATGTTAATAGTGCATCTCGTGGAAAATCTATTATGCAATGTGACGGAGTTGTGCTGACAAAGTGCATTAAGTGGCAGAGGGTTTGACTAGGCGATGTCTTTCATGTTCATAACCAAGCTCTTTAATAGTAATAGACTGAAAATCAGAGTCTACAGTAACGCACAACTAGCTACGCAAATATATGCATACTACCTTGTTTGCATTCACTCTGTAGATGTCGTTTACAGGTCACTGGATCAAATCTGAGAATAGTTTTCTATAGGATGAACAAGACTGTTAGCTTTTTAGTTACCGGTCATATTTGTAGTTTGATTTTCACTAATCTAAAAAAGTTACTAAAATTGTAGCGTCTGACCAGCTGATCACAAACTGGGGTTCTGTCGACCATGAAGTTGCGTAATCCCTAATCTGTGTGTGTGTCCAATTATCTCAGAGGCATGTTTAAGGCGTGATGCAGTTTTTACACGACTCTGCATAATCCCTGCAAAACTTCAGTTTTCCCTGCATATGTTTCACCTACAGAGTAAGCGAGGGATTTTCAGAAATCTAAGTACGGCCATACAGGGTGGAGAATGTTGCTAATTGTTGCATACATAAACTGTTGTTAATTCCCCACAAAGTCCAGTGGAAAACCATTGATGTGAATGTGCTGCGAATTGAACTTGTGTTGATTTTGACTTGTGCAAAGCTCATTTATTATTAATCATTTCATTGGGAACAGTTTAAAAGGAATCACTTCAGTTATTTTACAAGACTTATGACTTTACTAAAAGCCGTGATGGCGCAGTCATGAGCGTATTCTGGTGATCACTTTTGCACCAGCTGAGCTGCTTACCAGTCAGCTGATTTGCTTAAGGTTGCTTATGTTTCTGACCCTCAGGACAAACCTGGAGCTGGAGCTCGTGCATCGGGGAGGAAACCTGTGCTCCGGAGGAGCCAGCGCTGCTGCCAAGCGCTCATGTCTAAGTGAGTAGTTGCTGGTTCGATTTCTTATATTTTATTGGTGAACAATCGCTGCATGCCAAGAGAAGATACTGGCCCGATTTAGAATGACAAAGTAACTTAACTAGGCATTCGAGTAGGAAATAACCACCTCTCTGTCTGCAGTCAGGTTTCTTTAAATTGTGTTTTAAAGAGCACATGAGTTTTTAACAATCCTTAGTTTGTTTTTTTTATTTTGTAAAAGCTTATGTCTTTTAAACTGTGTTACTTGCAGTTCAGCACATTGTTCAGTACTACAGCTCAACTGCTGAGGGGGAAAAAAACAAGTTAATGGTAAAAAAAAAATGGATTCTGATCCGAGTTAACTATTTGGAAAACTAAAGTATAACTTATAGTGTTTTTTTTTTTTTTTACAGTTTACAAGGTCATTTAACTCAGATGTGATGGGATCTGTATTAGAAATGAAAACCTGAATGTTTGCATTTCTTCTCAACTACAAAACGTAGATTAAAAATTGCCATTCAGAGAAGTTAAATTTCATCGGTGAATAGAGTGAGAAATCCTGGAGAGATGGATGTGTGATTTTGTTGGGTTTCACTTCCCGTTTTCTAGTTATTTAATTGTTCTGTCAGAGTTGCAGCTGCTCCAGTGAAACGCCCCGTCATCCCCAAGTGCCTGGAGAGATTTCTCCCCTTAAGGATTGCCACTTTTGAGCTACATTAACCGTGTAGCCACACTGACAGCCAAATTTACTCATTTGCAGTACATTAGTGTTCATTCTTCTTAGGGAAATGGATTTAAAGGAAAAAGGCAGACGTTCGCTAACTGTTAGAGCCCATGGGGCTCTTAAGCCTGCTTCACTATAGGCCCCTCATGTGTTCAGCTGATGAGGTTACAATTGACTGTAGGAACAAGCTCTCTTTTCAACTCCCAGGGCACCAGCTAAATCAAATGTAGAGAGTCTAGCTTTTAAGCAGCTTTGCTTTTTTAGCTGAAAATTTTTTTTACTCTACTACTTTAAAGGCATTTTAAAGGATAATGATGCTGACCTTCCCTGTTCCAACCTAATGCTGCCGCTTCCAGTCCAATATGCAGGACTGGAAGCGGCATTAGTGTTATTAGTGGTTTGTGGGGTTTTTTTGTCTGTAAACCAATATTTAATTACTTGACCTGAGACAACTGAGGTATCATCTTAGAAAAAAAGTAATTGTGCACCAAACCACAATTGGTCCTGGGATGTGGATCTATTGATACCAGTAACTATCTGCATTCATTTCAGAGTCGTTGATGATCAGCGTGTAAGTGATTGTAATTTCAAAGGACCAATCAGACCCCGGTGTTTCGCGCCATGGACATGTAGTAGTGTCCTTCTTGTCTCACCCAAGTTGCTGTTTTTGTGGTTCACAAACACTCACCGTAACCTTTGCTCCAGAATGCATTGACCCATAATGCACTGGTCACACTAACCACCATGTGGAAACACGCTGCGTGGCAGAAAACAAAACGATTCACACACATGTTTTTTACCAGAAAAACTGGCATTGCATGATTTTCTTCCACTTTACTATAATTGGGTTGTTCTGTCAAGTAAAAATCAAAATCAAAGACATTGAAGTGGTTGTAAAGGGACAAAATATGGAACATTTCAGGAGATATGAACACTTGGAACAAGGCAGTGTTGTAACAATGGTCGTGCCAAGTTATCTAATCACTGGTGATGTTTAGCTCAACTTGTTGCAATCGAAAAGCTTTTGTTTTGTTTTGTTTAGGAACCTATATAAAGCACAGTGATGATGAGGTTTATTTAAATTTTGTTCTTGTTTTCCTCAAAAGAAAGGACTTTGAGTTATTTCTTTCTGGTAGTCGAGAAAACAAAATTTAGACTTGACTCTGCTTCCTCTTGACAAAGAGATGGAAAAATTGGAGCCATAAAACTTGGAACAAGCAGATACTTAATGCATATATTTTGAGGAGCCTAGTTAATTACAGCCAGGATTTTATTCTCTCTCCTGTTTTTAAGATCTTCCCTCCTCCCTGTAGCTGCCCCTCTCTGGTTTGTTGCTGGCTGGAGGAGAGCGATGGCAGAGAGGGGAAACAATCTGCACTGAAGACAAATGGGATGCCGTCACAATCTGACACCTTGACTACTCTTTGCCGTGTCTCTTTTTACCTGCGGAGGGCAGTGTTGCTCCAAGAATTGATAACCGGCTGGCAGGAAAATTACAGTGTCGAATATTTGAAGCCATTTTGCTGCATTACTGCCTCAGAAATCATTGCAAAGCCAAATAAATGAGAGCGAATGCCTTTTGTTACCGTTCTCGTCCTGAGAGCAGCCGCATTTATAAATCGGCTGTCTCTGTTGTTAGGCAGATTTGAATGAATTTTGATTTTTCACCTTGCATGATAAACATGTTATACATATTATTACATTAAAGTAACGCCTGAACATGGTAATTAATGACTGGTTTTGAGGTGTGATTCTGGTAGAGAAGGTAGTGACTAAACATGGTTTTGTGTGTGCACCGATGCTCTGTCTTCATGTTCCATTAGTTTCACAAAGAACAGGTGTAAAAGAGACGCTCTAGGCTGTCGGACCTGGCCATGAGTCCATCTGGGCTGGCCCCGTTTCATCTGAGCCAGACATTAGCCTGCCGTCTCTCATAAGTCCATCAGCATTGCTTGTTGCTGTGATAAAACAAGCCGCGATCAACACGATTGCATTCTCACGCGAGCGATTTGTGAGACAACAGCCAGATGTTTTGTCTTTTCCTCTTTCAGATCAGCTGTTCCACGTGTTGGCCATGCACATGAGACTCTACAGCATCGATTCAGCGTACAACCCGTGGACGAAGCTGACGCAGATTGCACAACACAAGGACGCAGAGTGAGTGACGTTCGTCCTCAAATACTCTTCCTAAAAGGAAATCTGCAGTTCTGTTGATACATTGCAACTTTTCCATCCTCTGGCGTCTTTCTCACCATTTCCTCTTACATAAAAACACACTGGATCTAAAAGAAGAAAAAAGAGGTTTTGGGAAGGGGGGACTGTGGCTGGTTACCATAGATACCAGTAATTGCTGCATCTGGCAAATTACCGGGCACTCCACGCAGAGCCAAACGACCCTGTCAAATTGAGTGTACAGGGAGCAGCGGTGAAACACCAGCACCCAGCCGTCTTCTGCCCTTTAAAGGGGATTAGTATTTATTTAGCAAAATACAAAAAGGTACAAATATGCAGGTTGGATTTTTTTTTTTAATGTTTGGTAAAACAACCAGACATAAAATTAAGGAAATGTTAGGAAATTAAAAAAAAAAAAAACCATATCAATTTGGATTCCATAATTGATGATTTGAAAGAACCGGAGCTGCAGGATGTTGGAGAAACATTCAACTGCAATTTGTCATTGAATATTGCAGTGACGATGTCACGTGGTTCAGCTAACTCCCTGTTAGCTTAAGAATCTCAGTCGCCAAAGTTTGTCCTCACAACCAAATATAATGTTAAAAAAAATATAGCATTTAAATATAGCAGCCCACCAAATATTGCATCCAAGCAGTGCCTTACATTGCACAAATTGATGCTGTGACTCAGCATATTGTTTAGCTCTGGAAAACATGGTTTACTGCACCTGAAAAAGAAGCTCAAATAGCCTCTCTTCTCTGTTAATGTTCTGTTAGACATGCTTTCACACCTGTTACCGTCAAAGTGCTGGCAGCCTCAGTATTCTCTTTGGACCTATTTGCTGTTTAAAAATACTCTTGCTGGAGCTTCATAAGGGAGCAGTGTCATTCACACCCTGAGGCTGTCGACCTAATGTAGTCTAGTTATATGGGACGGAGAGACGTTTCCACGTCGATGCCAAACATCCCTCTTGCCATTTTCTTTACGAGAGAATCTTAAAAAGAAAATGTTTGAGTGTGTGGCTGCAGATAATGGCTGAAAGCTCCGTCCTCTAAGGTTTCCTTCCAGTGCACTGAAGAATTAAGTGTTGAGTGGTTTGGAAATGGAAGGTTTTATTCTTTAAGTGCAGTTCCTCTTGTTCTAAACCCCCAAAGCAGCCTTTCAAGGGTAGAGTGGAGACCGGGACATGCACCGAACAAAAGAGATGTAAATTGGAATGGCACAAAATAAGAATATGTTACCCAGAATGCATTAAGGATTTCAATCAGGGGATGTAAGAGAAGGGGTCTTTTGAAGCTACGTCTTTGTTGAACAAATTAAAAATGGAAAACCACAGCAGAAGCTTTTCCTCTCAGATGGTCTAAAGCCACTTTTAGATGTGCTTTATGCAGCATTGCAGTGTTTACCTTCATGTTGAACTTGCTTATCGCCATTAGATACGCAGCAGTTGACATTTGCAACGGTGAAGAAAAACATAAAATTAAATAAAATTCAGCACAATCGACTTAGTTTGTCAGATCAACAAGACCGATGTTTGCTCCTGCAGATGGGTCTTTTTGCATCAGGTCACAGTTTTTCAGTCACAAACGCCGCAGATGCAGTCAAGTGAGCAAAGAGATGGGGGGAAAAAAATGTTCTAGTTTTTTATATTATCCAGGAGAGAACCTAGTTTCCTCTGTCTCATTCTCAGTAACACAACTGAGATAGAGATTCCTTCTTACATTACAGTCAGATTTTCTTTAGGGTGAATTTATTTGAATTCTGTTTGTTGAACTTGTTAGAACATTCAAAAAATCTCAAGATTTCAACAAGATGATTTGCATCTCTTTAGACCATTGAGCTAAAAAGAAACAAAATGGTATGATCGTACAATTCATTTACTTTTTTTCTGATCTTGTGACGTATGCCACCGACTTTAACATTACCTTGCTTGTCTTGTTTTTTTTAATTGATCGTTATTAGTGATTTTACCAAAGGTGTGAAACAGATAAGCAGAGAATAAACTCAGCCTCTCACATGAACTAGTATTATTAGTTAGGTTTTTTTTTTTTTTTTTTTTTTTTCATTTTCGGCTGTGTATCTGAATGGTCTCTACATTTTCTTCATGTGCTTCATAGTTTTTGGCTTGCATTTGTTTTTTTCAGGGTTTCACATTACCACAGCTGTTTGACATTTTTCACTGTGTTACACGCAGGACCGTTTGAGTAATGAAAAAGCTCCCTGGTGTGTTTTTGCAGTGGCTTTGATGAGGAGAGACCTGAGGTCCCCATGCTGTTTAGAGATGTCCCATCCCTCCTCATCATCTTTGTGCTAACTATGCCACAGCCTCTGCGTAAAGGTAAGGCTTCTCCCCCAGCATCAGGAAATCGCAGGTGTACAGACCTTCTTATAGCTGTAACAAAAGGACACCCTGCATTATTACTTGAGGCTGAACGCTTCAAGTAATAATGTAAAAGAAGCATTTTACATATTTTTGTGTGTACTCGTGTTGCTGTTTTGGCTGTGAGGATCATGAAGAACTCGCCCTCCCTAATCTCTCCCTCGTTCTTTACTTTATTCATTCCCTGTGAAAATGAAGTAAATTCTTCAAAGAACTGATTGGAAGATAAATTTGTTGGCGAACTGTAGAACGTGCTCTATATTTAGTTGTAAATGCAAGTCAATGTTCTTTATCTGTAAAACTTTTAAACAAAGATATATATATTTTTTCACTTTACATTCCGTTGCTTTAGTTTTTATTTCTTTGCCAACTAAAACACCCGTCCGGCTCAGTTTTCTGCCTATTGTTTCCTCGCACTTTTAAACCCAGAAACCTTATAAACCAGCTCATCCTGCTGGTGTCTCTTTCTGGCCTCTTTTAGAGCACTTTACCTGCGTGATCAAGATGCTGTACAACCTGCAGTTCACTCAGGCTTTAGCTGCACTGTCAACCAAGCTGAGCTCCGAAGAAAGGCAAGCCTGGGTCAAATCAGGAGCACTTAAGAAGGTAAATGTTAAACCACACGACCTTGATCTGAGAGGCCACGTGCTCAGTATAGGTTGTTTTATCATCCAGTAGATATGTGATGTTTCATTTTCATATCGTGGTAAAAAAAACAGTTAATTTAGAAAAAAAAAAAAAATGTAAGTAATTTGTTTATCTTGCCGAGTTGTATTAGTTTTGTCGCTTCCCTTTTATTTCTCTTAAACTGCACAGAAATGCTGAGAATGCATCAGTCACAGACGGTGATGTTTCTCATTCAGAACAGTACATAAAAAAAATAAATAAAAAAAAAAAACTGAATAAATTGAGCTCCTATTTTAAGCAGCCCACACCAAACTAATGCAACAATACCTTGAAATAAGGCTGAATGTCAGCATGCTCATTTTTAGTCAGCAGTATGGAAATGTAGGTTTCTAGTTTTACAGCAGTAGTGGGAAATAAATGGCGTGGCTTTAGCTTGCCCTGGGGTCATAAGATACAGCATTTATGGCAACCTGTATCGTATTCATTTTAAATTCTCGATATCGGGACAACATTCATTGCTGTAACAATATCCACTTAAAGAACAGAGTTGAAGGTCTTTAACAAGTGTATCAGAGTATATATATCATAAAGTATGAATTTTATCTGTTTCTGTTTGGGGGTTTTTTGTGAAGCGCCTTTTGTTTGTCGTGAATTGGCACAATGTAAATGAATTTAATTAATATCTATACAAAACGGTGTGCAACAATATCACTGGAGTTGTTCAGTGTTTAAGCTAATTGGCTGGAGAACTTTTCATTTGAGGGATTTCCATCTTTAAACATAGTAATTTTCCATTGTTCTTTAATTGTGATTGCTGCTCACTGTTGACACGGCTTTGAAACGGCATAAAATATCTGTATTGAGTTGAGTGCGACTGCCGTGAAAGTGAACGGGAAAGCACAGTGAAGACAGATCAGAGGCTCGAAACAAAGGGAAGCTTTAGACTCTAAAATCCCCTCCTATAAATCTGCGACGAACGACAGCAGACGAGATAAGGCTGCTGTTTTATATTCTACCCCCTTCAGCTTGATGAATGCGTTCAGGTTTTCCTCTGTATAAAACAGCAGCCAGATCAGCAGAACACACATTCAAATCAGAAGAACACACATTCAGTAATGTCTCTTCCCGCTAATCAGACGTTGCGCTGCGTTAGTCAGTATGATCTGTAGGGCCAGCACGTCTTGTATTGGAGAGACCTTTGAATGCTAAAGTAAATCGTTGCGTTTGGATAACCTAGAAAATGCGTAAATAAGTTTTTAAAACATATATTCATAAAGACTCTCCATCCAGCAAGTTAAATTGTGTGTGAGAAGTGAAATCCTTCGCTTGTGTAAGTTTGCTCATACATTCGTTCCAGGTTTTTAATAATGATATTTAGGGGTTGAATGATTAAACTAATAATTATGCTTAGTTTCTTTTTTTACCTGGGTTTGTTTTCGTGCTAGTTGGTTAAAAGGAGTCTGCTACGTTCTGGTTGCAAGATGTGTGGATCATTCGCCGTCTTTGAAAAGTATTCGCAAGCTTTGAAATTTCCCAAATAATTATACGCAGTATATACCTACATAAATACATTTACACAATATTTTTTTTTCTTTTCACTGCTTGCTTTTACTGTAACAGATTTATTTAGTTTTTACTCTTATTCCCATTTGTGATCTAAAGGTTTCTGGTTGAATTCTCTACCTGGGAAAATGGTTCACACATAATTTACACATGTGAAATTTAAAAAATGTATATATTTAGAGGATCAGAATCAAGTTTCTTTGATTCTACTCTAGGCTCGTTATTTTAAATTATTCATTCTCTAGTTCTCAGATTTTTCTGTGTTTCATCATCTTGTTCAGCTCAACAAACACGTTTCATTATTTCTTAAATGCGCACCAGACTTTACCTTTCTCTGTTTCTAATCACAGGGAGCAGATGCTCTATGGCGACCTGAAATGTAGTTTATAGGAATCATTTCAAGTTGTTTTTTTTTTTTTTTTTTTTTTTTTTTTGCCTTTTTTACAGCTTTTTTTTTTTTTCTCGCTCACTTGTCGTTTTCTTGTCTGCCTCAGGAGGAAGAGGAGTTTTCTTCTTTGGCTGTGTGTTTAGGGCTGCTGTCGTCAGCTCCTCAGCCTCCCAGCGCCGTACACAGTGCCTCATGTCTGGAGTGGCCCTTTAACGCCTTTGACCTGGTGACGCAGTGGTGCGATGAGGTCACAGGGCGATCTCTGATGCATCCTGAGCAATCACTAGTATGTCAATTTTAGTCAATGTACCAACTTTGCTAAAAAAAAAAAAAAATCTGAAGCATGTGGAGGTTTTCTGAGACTGACATCAGCATGTTTGAGATTTTGAATGAGCTAACGCAAACCCTTGTGAGTTGTCAGTGATTACATTTCTGCAGGTGTCTTGTTTTTAATAACATCAATTCAGTTGCCCTTATTTATTTTTTTTGGCTCTAGTGAACCATATTCATTAGTAGCTTGCAAGACAGAAGGGCAGAAAGACTGTAAGACCTTTGCTGTCGTCCTTCTCCCGTGCAGAGCTTGCTGGTCCAAGAACCTCAGTGGGCAGCGCCTCGCCTTCTTCAGCTACCAGACAACTACAACATCATCTTCCAGTACTATCACAGAAAGGCCTGCACTGTCTGCAAAAAGGTGCCAAAAGACCCTGCGCTCTGCCTCGTTTGTGGCTCTTTCGTCTGTCTCAAAGGCGTCTGCTGTAAACAGCAGGGTACCTGTGAATGTGTTTTGGTAAGTTTATGACAATAGTTTTGATTTTTATTTTTTACTAATATCTTAGTATCCCAAAGAAATAGAATTTAGTTTTGAAATGTAGGAAAAACAATCCTTTTTAAGTCATCAATGCTGACTGCATCATTGCAGCACTCCCAACATTGTGGCGCAGCGACAGGCATCTTTCTGCTGATAAACGCCTCAGTCATCATCATCATCCGTGGACATCGCTTCTGTCTGTGGGGCTCCGTTTACCTTGACGCTCATGGGGAAGAAGATCGAGATTTACGGTATGATGAATGTTTAAACGCTTTAAAACTCTTTTAAAAAAAGCTTTTCCTGCTGTTAGTTTATGTATGCTGTTGAGAACAAATAAAATGATAATACATTTTAGAAAATTAAAAATAAACTTATATTAATTTCTGTGGTTAAACTAAATAAACAAGGTTATTAAAGCATTAAAACATATTATGTTGTTAATTTAAAAAATATATATATATATTACCCATTCTTTTTTGTCAGTCTGATGGTAATGATGAAGAAAATATGTATTAAAGAATGAACAACATTAACACTGCTTCTAGAATACAGAGCTAAATAACTTTTAATCACACTATTCTGTTTTATTTTTTTTAAAAAATTCTTATTAAGCATAAAAGAAACAATAAATATGCGCTTTAATTGCATTTAACTGGAATGTAATTTTTCCTCCAGCATCTAAATATTAGCTTAAAACCAGTCTGACTTTATCAAGAGTATAAAGGTCTCTGAAGTTGTGAAGTGAAGGGTTTTGGTGATGATTTGGAGTTATTTCACCTTAAATGTGAGAAAACAGGAAACCTGGACAGGGGCTAATCATTTCCTCACATGGCCACTTTGGGTCCTTTCGGCTCTTGAACCAACTGCCTGAAAGGCTGAAACGTGCAGAAATGTTAAAGTAATGACTGAAAACCTTACCGTTTGCTGCAACTTGCCAGTAAAGATCATATATAACACTTAGTTATTCAAATTCACCAGCCCGCACTATTGCTTTTGATACGCATTTCTTATTTTTCATGTTTGTTTTCTTTGTTTTCTTTGTTTTTTATTTCTGTTCCTTTATTTTGCTTTAAAGTACTTTGAAATACTCTTTGAATGCAAGCATTTCTTGACCTGCTCTCTCTGTTTCCTTTAGCCGTGGAAAGCCTCTGTTCCTGTGTGAAGAGAGGTATCGAGTTCTGGAGCAACAGTGGGTTTCCCACACCTTCGATCACATCAATAAACGCTGGGGGCCACACTATAATGGACTCTAAGATCTTCCAAAGTCCTCTTACAAACACATACAAACCCAAGATAGAGATGTTTTTTATTATTATTATTATTATTATTATCATTGTTATTATGATTTCCTGGCTTGTGTCTGCCTTGATTAAAATATTTGGAAAATCCTTAAAATGATAAAAACAAACATCCAGTAAGGTTATCGCTGCCACAGCTTTCAGTTTATGTGAAGTTTGGTGTACAGTCATGCCTAAAAGACTAACACGTGTGTGTGTGTGTGTGTGCGTGCGTGTGTGTGTGTGTGTGTGTGCTCAAGTGATCTATTGTGTGGTTTTCAACAGGAAAAAGGAAAAAAATCTGAATCTCGGCTCAAAGTAGTGGGAATAAGTTCACCCAGGTTATCTGGAGCAGGCTTTAAAAGTCTGTCCTGTTTGGGTTTGAAACGTCACAGATCAGGCAGATGTGGATTTAGAAAACATAATATCAGGGTTGCTGAATGTCCCTAACGGAGTCGATATGTTTTTTTTGCACCATTTTCGATGAAGAAAACACATATCCCTTATATTTATCGCGGCGCTCGCTGCTGTTCAGCCATGGGTTTTCTGAGCTCCGGATGAGTGAAACAACGTTTTCTGCAGGCTGCACTCGTCGTCTGCTCACGTGCGATGGTAGGCAAGACCAAGTCCACTCATCAATACACAAAGAGTTTTCTTTTGCGAACAAGAAAGGACTCTTTCTGGGTCTAGTTGCAATCCATCCTCAGGAATTATTATGTTTCCTTTTTTGTTGTTTTTGCTGTTTAAAATATGTTTTAGATATTTAAATAAATGCTGCTGCTCATTGTTCAATTAATGTTAACTTTTGTGAAGATTTTTTTGTTTTTTTGTAAGGTTGTGCTTTGAGTTTACAGTTAGTGGCTGGGAATGTGGATTCAAACTCACTTTAAAGTTTAAGGAGGTATGCGGTCGCCACATTGCACCCACTCCAGGTGACATTAACCTGCCTTTTTAGAGTTTTTATTTCTTTCTTTTTTTTTTTGTTTGTTTGGATGTAATGGAGAAAAAAAAAAAAAAACTCAAATGAGTCCAGCTTCATAAATATCACCGCTCAGGCACCGAGTCCTGCTGCGTCACGTCTGAACAAAAATATCAAACTTTGTAGGAGTTTCCTCTCAACCTCTTAAATCTCGGCTAAGCGGACGTTTGCTTGCCGAGAAGCCAGAACTCCTAATTGATCTTCCTGTGCTGTTTGAAAGGCTTTTCTCCCTTTATGCATTTTAATCAAGTTCATATCTTCAGTACAGAGCAATTCATTATGACTATCTCTTACTCGTGCATCATCTAGCTGTGATTTGTAGTTGCATTTTGACATTGGAGGATCGTCGGAGTTGGTGTCCATTATATCACTGTGCATGGCATCCTTTAAGCAACCATTGTTTGTCTGAGCTACCCAGTTTTCTGACTATCACCTTGCTTTCTAGAAGGGTGGAAATTTGGCTCAGTCACGCCTGCGAAGCTTCGGTTTACGGCCGCCTGGGATGCTGGGCCACGTTGTGCTGCGATGTGGGGGGGAAACGGAGCACACATGGGAACTTCCTTCTGAATTTCTGCATGCTGATTTTTCCCCCAGGTTTCATCCTTTTCTTTCTTTATTTTCGCTGTACCCACTTTGTAAATGACCGCAACCAAATAGCCAATGAGTAACAGGTGTAAAGTTGTAACTGAAAGCTTCTGTGTGTTTTCCTGTGTGAATGAAGAGGAATACAGTACATTACTGTAGGTGCTGACTCAAACTTTCTGAGTTTGACCAGGAAGTATGACTTGGGACATTTAATGCAAAATGTAACATATGTGAATAAAATATAAGCACACATTGACTTGGTTTCCTTTGTTGTTGGTTTTTGTTATTTTCATTAAGTGTCATCCAAACACTGCAGCAAAATTAAGAAACATAAATATTTCACCTAGTTATTTTTATACCAATTTAATCAAAGTAATATAAAGTCAACATCAGTACTGAGAAGAAACTCCATTAAAATTAAAGTTGCATAAAAATGGATGTTATTGATTTTGGGCTTTTAATGCATTGAGTTCTTATTTGAGTGCATTTACTGTACAAAATATATCTGCGATTACTTTTTAAATCAGATCTCAATTTATTATAGACTTTCTCTATTGGCTCAAAATCGGCACATTGGCCTGAAAAACTTTTCAGACTTTTTCCATTTAGAAATCTAAAAATTGTGTTTGTTTGTATTCAGTCCCATTATCTTGATACCCTTAAATAAAATGAATTTGAAAAGAAAGCCATTGTTGGAAAGCAGGCCATAAAAGTGCTTGTTTGCAGTTTACCAGAGGACAACGCAAACATGCCAGAAGGTTCTCTGAAACCTGTCGGATGAAACCAAAATCAAACTTTTGTAAAGCGTGCAGAAAGCTGCGTGTGTGTGCACATGCTTTTCTCCAGCAGGAACAGGGAAGCTGGTCAGAGTTGATGGAGAGATGAACGGAGCTAAATGCAGGACAATCATGGAAGAAAGTATTTTGGAAGCTGCCCATCAGGACTTGGGCAGATTAAATTGACGTTTGTGTTCAAGTTGAGTGTAAACAAACTGCTAAACTAGATATGTAAAGTACAAAAAGCTGTTCTTTTGCACTTGACTGGCTGTTTTAATTGTGTTGCTGTCATGAACTGAATGTAAAACGTGTGGCCTCTAGGGAGTTCAGTTCATTGGAGCTGAAATCTGGACATCAACGTTACATCAGAAGAAAGTTCAACCTGGGCTGAAAAAGGTAACTTCTATGCAGTGAAAAGTTGGCATGTTAAATAACCAGATGGTTGATAAGATTTCGCTTTAACGTCTAAAAATAAAAATGAAATCTGTGTATTTGCTCTTGATTTGGTGCTGCTGAAAGTAAAGGAGTTCGAGTTGTCAGTAATCCATGCGAGGGAGTATTTGCGGCATAATTGGTTTGGAGTCCGAAAACAAGGGAGGCTCTGTGGATAATGACTATCCGTAGTACAAAGCCACTTTTCTCTTCCAATTAGGCAACAAGAAGGAAAAAAAAAAAATCTCCGTGTGTGTGGTGGACGATTTTTTTTTTTAGCCACAGTTGCAGAAACCCTCAGAGTTTCTACAACCGTGTTCAGACGAAGCGATGTTGGTGTTACAAGCGGTCCTCCGACAAGCTTCCTTGGATATTCCTCCCATCGCTTCCTGTGCAGGTAGGAGGCTGTAAAAAGTGACAGTGGGGGTGCAGTTAACCACTTCCGGTCTGCAGGACAACATGCTCGGGTATCTAGAAAGTTAATAATTAAAAGCCATTATCAAGTAGGCAGAAAATCTCTTCCTATTTATTCCTACAGAGGTGAGCTGTGTGGGACGCCTTTAAACATATAGTTTAAACATCCATGATGGTTTATATTAAACTTGACCCAGATATTGGGAGGTGAATGCAGAGGTCCTGCTGTGACTGACAGCCTCTCCCGTGTTGCAGATGATACAGATGGAAAATCAACGGCAGCAATGTCAAGGTAAGGAAGGACATGTTTTTCTTTCTTTCTTTCTTTTTTTAAAGTAAAGTTTTCCCAGGTGTGGAAGGAAAGGCTGTGAATGTGCATCATATTCATAATAAGGCTGTCTGCATGTTAAATTTCAATTAAAACATCCCTAATTTTCTAAATTATCTTGCTTCTTCTGGCTGTTTTCCACGTTCAAGAAATACTTTAGGTGTTTTGGAAAACTGATCCAAAAAGCAGCCGGCATCATCGCCATTAGATATTTTAAATATTTTGTATGGTTTAGAGTAGCAAAAATACAAACATGTTTTAAATTCAATCATAAAAACAGTTATGGTGGCACCATCTCTTTTTCCCATCAGAACGACTGTTCATGCCCTCCACTATTAAAAACAAACAAACAACCAACAAACAAACAAAAAAACATTTATTTTTATGTCATCTCAAGTCCATCTAAAAATTAAAATTGTATATTCTTTAATTTTTATTTAGTTGTATTTTATTGTTTCTGAAATTTGATCAAATCAGTTTTTCCCTTTGTGGTTGTATAAAGTACTTAATTGTCTAATTTGTACAGAACTTTGTTGAAACTTCTCAACATAAATAAAATTGACATCAACATTCATGTTGATTTAGCACTTTAGTAAATACAAACATACCTTTCTACTGTCAAAATATTTTATCAATATTACTTGGAACCTTAAATGGTTACTGTAAGTATTAATATTGACTGTCATCAAGTTACATGCAGTTAGCTGTAAAAATATCCATACCCTGGACAGAAAGAAGTCTTTTAATATTTTTTCTAACTTGAGGTAATATTAATGTTTTGGAGTGGCTCAGACTGACCTGAACCCAGAAGAATTTGTAGGGAGCTAAACATTAGGGTGATGGCAGGGAGGCCTTCCATCCTCAAAGATAAATCATAGAAACAAATTACAGTGGAAACATTGCCAGCAGGTCTAAGAAGTTTGATTTCTGTTTTGTCTATAAAGGATTTTTCATTACTTATTGGATAGTTTCTTCTAATATGCTAATTTTGTTAAAATGTAATTTTTTTTTTTTCCAAAGCCATGTCTCTTGTGCTTTAACACCTTTTGAAAAATACCTGTCTCCTTTCCTATTAGCAAAAAAACTTATTGATTAAAAGAAAATCATTTTAAATCTTTTACTGGGATATAAATAATTTGTGGCTTAACCATAAATATAACAGATCTGCTATTTACATGTCTGCCTTGAAATTTCTACACACACACAAACACACAAAGTCCAGCTTGTCTTTTGAACAGTCAGTGGCTGCGTAATGTGCGGTTATTATGCTGAGTCACAGCACAAAGAGGCAGCTGAGGTGTTTGTGATGACAGAGATGGATCCTGATGAGGGTGGCTTTGTTTTGCTAATTGTGTTTTCTGTATCTCGTGTTGTTCTGCTCCTGCAGGCTAATTAATCCTGCAGGTTAACTGCTTAAATTAAAAACAACAACAACAACAACAATATTAAAAAAGAAAGAAGCCGGGTCCGTCTGTCATCTTCTGATGGGGCTATTGGTCATCCAGGGTGAAAACAAGGTCACCGTGCTGTAGGTCTCGCTTGGTGGAGGTTTACTGTAAAGCCTCCTCATATCCCCTTAAAAGGATTATAGTTTTCTCTCTCTCACTCTCTGCAGACCTACCAAAGGGTTTATTTACCAAGTGCAGTTCCCAAGAGGCTTTATCGCAGAAAGTAGAATTGTGTGTTTGATAGGAGCAGAAAATGGGATTACTTACTTTCAGTTTGCGTCGTTTTTTTGTGTGTGTGTGATAAAGATGTTGTGCAGCTTGTCACACTATCAGTCATCACAGTACTAATGCTTTTGTTGGAAAAAAAAAAAACCCTCAAAGGAGGAGAGTGAAGGGTATTCATTACAAAAATGACACACCTGTTGTTTTAGTGTTTTGTTTTCATGAAGCTTTCTGTGACTTGACTTTGATTAGCTCATGTATTTATTTCAAACAGTCACGTGTCACGAGACAAAAGGTAACCTGAGCTTCTCGCCCAGTGAGGACCAGTAGGTGTCCTGTTCCTAAGCTGCTCTTCAGTCCTCTGTTCCTTTAAATGTAAAATTAAAATTGAACAAATGAATTTCTGTGATGATTTTCATACATTCAATGCGCATAGTTCTTAACCAGTACTTCTGAGTAGAAATTACATTGGTTTGCATGTTACTAAGCACCCAAATCAATTTTCAAAGTCTACATACTTGCCAAAGTTACTTAAATGTGTTAAATAATCAACTTTGTTTCATTTTAAGTTCATCAAACTAGTGAAATTATAATTACTCTGTTTTATATTGACTTAAACCTCAGAAGCAACAAGAAGAATTGATACATTTACATTAAATTATTCAAATGAAAGTGCAACGTGTGTCCTCAGCAGACAATCCAGAAATAACAGGAGAGCAGCATGTAGTTAAACATTTGGTAAATAGTCTTTATAAATATATTTAAAATCTACAAGTTGAGGTGATGAATACCAAACACACTGGTCAGGACTGACTGCTGCTTCTCTGTTTCTTTCATAAAGTCATTCGGTTTGTCCTCTTCCCACATTAATAAGAGTTAAATAATAAGAACTGCTCAAATAGAAATACACTTTTTGTCCTATTTGAACAAGTTGGCATATTAGCTAAAATGTGCTGTTTATTTTATCTTTATAAGGGTTTAAATATGCATCACGTTCCTTACAGCATCTGCAAAGTTGCAAACTTGTGATCAAGCTTAGATGGTTATGCAGTTACCTTCATGTTTAAAGGGTCAGTCTCAAATATGCTGACAAAATAACGTTTAAAGTTGTCTTAAAGTAAAGAACAGTGTGTGCGTAGAGGAGACTGGCTGCGGTCACATGATTTAGCAACTGTCACAGACTTCCTGGTTACCTGCCTACAACATGAGATGCTTCATATCAGCCAGCTATTATGACTGGCTACATCTGCCGCCTGAATATTTAAAGCCATCTGGGTATCAGGTTGCAGATGACTGGTAAATTATTAATCTCTGGAGATTGGCTAAATTAGTCTGGAGCATTTCGATGTGAGGTAGCAGCAAACACTTTCAAAGAAGCAGGTATGTTTGGTTCTTGACTTTTTGATCTGAGCCTTTTATTTATCTTGAATCATCAATAGTCGATGATCAACGCAAACGTCTATGAAGGGAACTTATTGCAGATGTGCGATTGCTGCAGTGGATTGTTGCTAAATCATTTCTTTGCAGCCGGATTAGCAGAGCTTCTCTGTTTTGTGCCAACCTAAAATAAAGTTTAGTTAAACTTTCTTGCAGAGTAAGGTACCGTATAATTACAACAACACAGAATGATATTCTAGCAAAAATGTAAACAAACACGTTACGATTAATAATTAACAGCCACAGCATAACAGTCGCCTTTATGTTCTGCATTATACTGGAGTATTAGACATGGCTACATAAAGTTTAAGGTGTATGTGAATCTGCTGTGCTCTGCTGCAGATTGTTAGAGACTAAAAGCTGTGATCAAGATACAGGTTTAAGAACAGGCGACTGGTTTTGTGTCCTACGTGGGGTTTAGGTTACACAAGAGCAGTGATAAATGTTTGATCCTGTTGTGTGATATGCTTTACTCTGAAACCAGCGTACGATGTCTGACTCTCTCCAGGACCTGAAACATGCTGAAGCAGGTTGCCCATTTGCCTTTTTTTTTTTTTTTTTAAAGCTTTTGAACAATGCTCCAGTGTTCTCGTGTAACTTTCAGGTGACAAACGTGCTGAGAGGTTGCTGGTTTTTGTAATTAAAACTTAATGGTTATTTGGTACTTTTCTTTAATTAAATCTGATGTGAAACATGTGGTAACTTCCCTCACACGTCTTTTCCACAAAGGACACACTGAAGGGCAACGGACGTGCTGCATATTTGAGAGTGTCCGCTCGACACCCGTCTGAAATTCATCGTGTTCTGATTTATAAACCTGTCCCTGCGTGACAGGGTTAAGCATAATTTTTCACATCAATTTTCCAGATCGCCTAAAATAAAAGACTTCCCCTTCAGTCCCTCAGGGACACACAACCTCTGTGATGCATTAACATGTTTATGATGACGAGAGCAGACACTGAATTGAAAATAAACATCCCTCTCCATCAGGTTTATCTGGGGAAACTTGTCATTTTATTAAAAAGTGGGTGCGTGCTTCCCAGCACGGAAGAAATGGGGTTGTTATCTTTTGTGTTATTTTATTTTTCATGCTTTCATGTCACTTTACTGTTCTTGCATGGAGTTTTTAGTCACAAGAAAATAATCATATTTTAAATATAAAAAAACCCCTCTGAAGCACGTTGATCGTTTCATGAAACTGCTTATTCAAAGGTGTGGCGAAAGTTTGCCACTTCAGGTCCTGTAATCTCTGACCAATCCAATTGATCTCCAGCAGATTGCACTTCTTAGTGTGCACAGCAAGGTCTCAGTGGAGACGGCTAATTCAGTGACTGTGGGAAACGCCGCTTGTTGCCCAAGGAAGCATTAGCTGTTGCTATCGGTGTTGCTGTATTATGATCACTAGAGACTCTTTGCTTGTAACTTTTCTCAGTGCTGATGAGTCAGAAGAACATAACACTCGCCATGTAAGTATAGACTGTGTTCTTACATTTAAATATGTTTGTTTTAAGATTATAATGTGGCCCCTTTGTGGTTATTTATCTTTTGGGAAGCTGCTGGGACGATGCTGTCTGTGCTTCATTGTTTATAGATTTTTTTATCTGCTTCTCTTTTTAGCTAGATGTGTTTTGTTCTCATGCTGCAGCAGTGTGACCTCTGTCAATCACAACCAGCTTTCTGTTCCCTGTGCAAAGCATTAAGCATTAGCAACGGGATTAACATTTTCCCTTGGTTTATTTGAACCGCACAATCACAACATTTTGACAGGATTTATGAAAACACTGTTGATCCCGGATCCGGTTTGATCCACAGGAGATCTCTTTATGGGCTGTACCCCTACAAGTCCAGCATGATTGGGCTGGAGAACCTGGGCGATCCCTCGGCCGACTGGGACATAGTGGAAACCATCGGGAAAGGGACGTACGGCAAAGTCTACAAAGTGACCAACAAGAAGGACGGGAGCCAGGCGGCAGTGAAGGTGCTGGACCCCATCAACGTGAGTCCAGTCAAAGCTTGTTAATTACTCAGGCTGCTCTGGTTACCTTGGTGAAGTCGACCCCACCGCCTTCTTCAAATTAAACGAAATTGGCGCAAATTCCCATTTCCCAGTGATATTAATATCTTTTATCACTTTAAAGATATTAATAAATGTTTCCAGAGGTCATCAGAGGTCAACCGGGCCGGCCCGTCACACACAAATGTTTCACACAAATTTCACCTAAATTGAAGAAGGTATCTGGGCCATCTGCACTCAGGTGTTTCCTCATGTGGCCGATTCAGGTGGGTTGTTACTTTAAGTGTCCCCCAGTGTTGGTCTTTTGAGGCTCCACGTGTTTCTGATGATTCTCTGGTTTAATAAACTTGTTTCAAATGACTTATTACCTCGTCTGGTGATGAAGAGCAGTGAGCCCAGACGTCCACGGCTTGGCAACGCTTCTAGAAACCAGCAGCTACATAAACACGGTTCTTACCTGTTCATTTTTAATGAGCATGTGCAAAGTTGTTATCTCTGTTTGGCAGCCTAGTGATGACCACTGGAAGATATTTGGTGGAATTAGAACCCAAACTATGGATGGTACTTGATTATACAAATTCATACTTTATTTTTCATCCGTTCTATAAAATAATCCATAACTGTAAAATTGTTGCACAGCTTTCTTATGGTGCCTGTTTGCCAAGTGATTGTTGTGCTTTTCTTAAAAAAAAGCTCAAAATACACATTCACAGCTGAGGACTTCTTGTCCTGCTTCATTGTTTTTTCTGCTCACAATCTGCACATATGTTTTATGATTCAAGCTGTTCTTATGTTATCATAGTAATGCTGCGTCATTTAATAGCCTTTGTAGGTTTAGGACTACAAGGTAACGGACAGACATCTTAGATATAATCATTTCAGCCTATGATTAGTTTAGCTGCTTTAATGAGGCCTGTTTCATGTCTGTTAGCTGTTTTATACATTTTTGTCTCTTTGAGCTCTCTGTTATGTTCATGATGGTTGTGTGTTGTCACGGTGATTCATGTCTGACTGAAAGCTTTATTTATTCTGGAGACTAAAGCATTTGTTGTTTTTTGTAACTTTGACTCCCTGCAGCATTCAAGCTCCTCAAACAGAGTAGGTTGCAAGTCTTGTCCTCTTCATCTCCGTCTCCACTGTTTTCCCACCACGTTAAGACCAGCGCAGTCTTACCAGTTGGCCTCCGGTCATTTTTCTGTTTGACGAGGACGCTGTAGACCCTGTATCGGCCACCCTTGTTCTGAGACCTGCCTGTGTTTGTGTTCGCCATCCTGGCAGCCTGATCCAGCACGCTGCTCCCCTCAAGAAGACGGAGCTTCCTCCTGTCCCATCGCTCTCCCTGATTAGACCGCTGACACTATCACTCAGACATCCAGGAGGAGAAATTCTGCCTCTGTGGTTGTGGATCTTCCCGTCCCCCCTCTGAGATTTACTTTGATAGGAAAGTGGAGCCGGCAGTAGTTCATCCCGTCCGTGTGTTACTATTACACAACCCGATTCTAATCATAGCTACCTGGTGTTGCTCTGTAGCTAAAAATAAATAGTCACACACCTATAAAGCATTTCTCTGTTAATTTATATTGCAAGGCTGTATCAATAGTTTGTTTGTTTGCTTCTTCAAGGACGTAGATGAGGAGATTGAAGCAGAATACAACATCTTGAGGTCTCTGTCCAACCATCCTAATGTGGTGAAGTTTTACGGCATGTTTTACAAGTCAGACAACTTATCTGGGGGACAACTCTGGCTGGTACTGGAGGTGAGCACTTCCTCATGCATCTTTATTGAAATTATTTCAGATTTTCAAGTGTAAAATTAAACCCCAACTGGTGCAACTATTTTATTTTATGTGTGGTGAATGTGAACAATGTCTTTACGCCGTAATTTTACCCTCAGTCAGTTACAACCAAATAAATCTTTTGACGCAGAGAGGAAACGTGTTCAGTAGTCAGAAAACAATTGAGCTGCCTCTATTTGCGTATTCAGGATTACAAGAAATTGAAAAATAAACGAGACTCTGCATGGACATGCTTGAGCATTTTGCTTCCTGCTCACATGTACCTTAGTTAAATTCTGTTTTCTGTTAACACAGAGTTTGATTCTTTCTAATGAGACATTTGAGAACTCCTACACTGAAGTTGACTGTTAACAATAAATGTGAAGGGCTTTGCATAGCAAAAGAAAAAAAAGAAAACTCTAACAAAACACAGTACCTTAATGAAACAATCAAATTGTCCAAATCCAAATTCATCTAATAACATAAACAATATGATCTTCAGCAAATCCAGAAAGTAACAATTTTTTTTTACATTTCAAACATAAACTCTTCAGCATTCATGTGTGACTTAAAAGTGGCAACATCATAGTGACATCACTTAATCTCACACCACTCTATGCAGGCTCTTTGTCTGCAATAATAAATATTCACTCACCCCTGCATCCCGAATGCTTGAACTCGCTCCAACTGGGGAACGCCTGACCTAATTTATGATTGATGCATTGAATTTTCTTCCCTATATAGTCAGATAATACTTAAAGAAAGAAAAAAAATAATAGAACAAGACAGAGATGGGACAAACAAAAGTAACTTTCCTGTCCTTAAACTCTACACTCTTCATCCCAATACACAGGCTCTATTCAAAATGGAGCATACTTCTGTGATCTGACTACAAAATTTGCTTGAGTTAGTCAGATTTAAATCCACATAACATAAGATGTTTGATAAACCAACATACACAGCGAGACAGAAAGCAGTGCATTGGCAGCTGAAGTATTTGGAAATACTCTGCAGACTTTGACAGCACTTCTTAAAAAGCCCGATGCTATTGTGCTGACATGTGAGGTCGGGCTTCTTTCTCCAGCTCAGATGTGTGGCCTAACCCTCCCCATGAATCATAATTTAGGGCGGTGAGTGATGGACGAGTCACCGGTGCTTCTCTGTCTCCCTTGCAGCTGTGCAACGGCGGCTCCGTCACAGAACTCATCAAAAGCCTGATCATGCGCGCCCAGCGCCTGCAGGAGCCTATCATCTCATACATCTTGTACAGTGCCCTCTCGGTAAGCTGGCAGCTGATTTTAAATGGCAACTAAAATGCAAGGATATTAAATTTCAGGGCCTGAACAAAAAACATCTGTACCCTTTGACGTTTTCTGCTTTGGTCACCACCAGAAAATTCAATGTATTTTATTGGGATTTCATGTGATAGACCCGACAAATAAATTATGCAGAATTATAAAGTGGAAGGAAAAACATACACGGTTTTCAATGTTTTCTTGGTAATTAAAATCTGAGACTTTTGGATGAATCTCTGGTCCAGTGCTCCTACATCAAATGGATAAATTATCTCCTCAGCAAGGCGGACTCTGCAGAGTCCAGCTAATGTCCCGATTACTTCACACTGGTGGGTTAAAGCAGCAGTGCTACTAAATGTTGCAGGACCATGCTCCTGAGGGACTGGAGTTTCCTGATCTAAGGACTATTGTTGCTGTGATTGTGAGTTTAGAGGTGTTGTCCTGCTTGAAGATGACCTTTCACCTCTCTGTAAAGTGTTTTGCAACCTCAACAGGAACTGCTTCTATCCGTCTTGACATCAACCCTGAGCAGCTTCTCTGGCCGTACTGAAGAAAATCCCCATAGCATGATTCTGCCGCCACCATGTTTTTCTGAGGGGATAGTGTATTGAGAGTGATATTTAGTTGCTGTGTCCACTAGATGGCTCATGGTAAATTGCGAATGGGTTTTCTTACTGCTTTTGTTTCAGCACTTTTCAATGAAAGCAAGACTTTTTGCTAGATAAAAATATGCAGCTGGACTGTATTTACAAATAATGAACGACATCAGAGTAAAAGTAGCTAAATCCATGCTACCATTGCCCATTTTTATTTTTAAATAAAATATATAATTTTTCTGCTCGTCACAATGGCATGCTTGTTTATCAAAAATCACAATAACATTAATTGAAGTTTGTGGACGAAATGTAAAAAACTGTGAATTTTTTTTTTTATTGAAGTCTATCCTTGTCTCTGCTTAATTTCAATATTTATATATTTTTTTGTTAACACAATTTGTATTTTTGGTTCCAACTTTAAAGGGGCTGCAGCATTTGCACAACAACCGGATAATCCATCGTGACGTCAAAGGAAACAACATTCTCCTCACAACTGAAGGGGGAGTCAAACTAGTTGACTTTGGTAATTATCTCTCCAAAAAGAATTGCTTAAAGATATTAATATCTATTTTTTAAAGTTATTTCTTTATTTTTTTTTTTAAGTATGACTGATCTTTTGGCAGTACAGCTTTGATTGTGAAGAATAAACACAAGCGCGGGGTAAATCATACTTGGTGCTCCACACTCTTTAGTCCCCTGCTCACCATAACATCTTTTTATTTCACGGAGCGTAGCCTGAACCCGGGGCTATTATTGCTCGTTTAAATTGCATTATTTGATGCTTTGCATATTAAGAGAAAGCTGCTATGGCAAATGACTTTGAGTTGCCTCCCCCAGGCGTGTTTATGTCCCCCGTGTCATGGAGATGAAGTGGACCCACGCTGATAAAAATCTGTCCTACATAATTTGAAATGATTATGGCCTATTATTATTACTGCTTGGTAGTTTGCCACAGCAGATTGTACACAAGGATTTATTGATCAATTCTAACACTTTGCACCTGTTATAAATCTGACTGTGGGTTTTTAGGGTCTTTTTTACGCGGCAGAAGGTGAATCTCACCGTCTTCTTCTGCAGGTGTTTCCGCTCAACTGACCAGTGCACGGCTGCGGAGGAACACATCGGTCGGGACGCCGTTTTGGATGGCTCCTGAGGTCAGGCATGTGCGTCTATAAAAAACAAAAAACAAACCACATGCTTTAGTGCCTGATCAGTGGAGTCCTTATGTGTTACCCAGAGCGCCTCGGTTATTTTAGTGAGCCTCCCTCCTCTGTGTCATTGTGCATTCCCCTCCTGTTCTCCGCCACGGGTGCAGCTCTTGAGGTTGCCTCAAGGTTAATAGCCGGGAGTCTGAGGGCCCCTCGGCTCACTCCGTGGCAGAAATGAGGTGCGGTGATTGGGCCGGTCGGGCTGGGACCTCAGGGGCAATTAGAATAAACTCAGCTGGAAAATGTAATGTCACTTATAATTATTGACTGTGGGAAAGCGGAGCTCACACCGGCAGCTATTCTAAGCTGACCCAGCTTGAATTTGCTTTAAATAAAAAGGATTTTTAGCTTTGAGTCAGTGGGACAGGTTCAGTTTGATTTGACACAGTTCTTAAGTAAATTCTGACCTACTTTTATTTTGCCATAAATTGAATTAGTCTTGCATCATTTTTAAATTTCCCTGCATGTTTTTTTTTTTGGGGGGGGATATGTAGATTTTATTTTATATATATTTTTTTGGACTCAGATGTTGTGTTACGTTGCCAGGTCATAGCCTGTGAGCAGCAGTACGACTCCTCGTACGACGCCCGCTGTGATGTGTGGTCTCTTGGCATCACAGCCATCGAGCTGGCAGACGGAGACCCCCCTCTGGCTGAGATGCATCCAGTGAAAGCGCTCTTCAAAATCCCGCGGTGAGTCCAGTAGAGGGCGCTCTTATCACACAGGTGGAGTGAAGCTAACACAAAGACCACAAATGTTGCCCTCCCCTCCCCCCGAAGTTAGTAGAACAATGTTAAACATTAGAGCTGTTAAACAGGAAAGTCATAATATTTCCTCTTACAGCTGAACATGTTTTTGACATATGGATGTCCTCATTCTTATCTACAAAGTAGGTCTTGCTGCATAATGATGAAATCCATGCCATAAAAAGTCCTTAAAGTAATTCCTGTGATATATATTCTCTGGAAATATTCACTTCTAGGGATCGTGCATGTCTGACAAGGGGGGGGGGGGACTCATGTTTGACCTTCTCTTGACAGCACAATTGTGCAATTATCTCTTCGTTTGTGGAAGATGTGCCCCTCTGATTGCAATTTGCATTAGTGATTAGCTCCATTCACACCGAGACGAGGCTGTCAGCACCCCCCTTAACCCTCGCCAACCCTGCTCACAATATTATCTCCTTACCCACCAACATGCAGGAGCACAGCGGGCTTGTGCGGCAGAAATGATGTGTGCTCTTCATCAACGCCACATTTTACCCAGAAGGTAGACTGATTGTAGAAGATAGAGCTGACTGATGGCTGGATGGATTGGTTAAGTTCTCAGAAATATACATTGTGTTACACTGCATTGTTGTTGTTTTTTTCCATTGAAACTTGAAGATTTTCTTAATTTTCCTAATTTGATCCTTGCCATTTTGTTGCATGCTGACCAGCACCAAAGAAAAATGTCTAATTTAAGGATGTTTACAATGCCTCTGCTCCCCACAGGCAAGATGGGAAAGATGATAAACATGTAGATTTTATACACTTTATTTGGAGAAATATGCTTTGGTTCATGATTGAGAGTTTCAGCAACACACACTGAAGGAGAGTTTGGTGTGAATCAAAAAATTATAAAATTATAGTTTGGTATGAGGAAGGATCTGTGATGCTGTGGGTAGAAGTCTGTTCCAAAAGACCCAAGAACTTTATTTGGGTACAGACCATCCATCCATCCATCCATCCATCCATCCATCCATCCATCCATCCATCCATCCATCCATCCATCCATCCATCCCTCTCTCTCTCTCTCTCTATACCCGCTTATCCTTGCAGGGCCACCAGGGGGCTGGTGCCTTTTTCCAGCAGTCATTGGGTGAGAGGTGAGGTAATGCACAGGACAGGATTTGAACCTAGGACCTTTTTGCTGCTACCAACTGCTTCACCATGCAGCCCGCATTGAGGACTGTTTAGTAAAAACCTCTTGGACTCAACCAAATGAAAAACCATGTATTTTAGTGGAGAATGATCCAAAACATGTGGCCAAACTTGCACTGGAATGTTTAACAAAACACAAAGTCATCCTTTCTGCCCGGTAACCACAGTTCTCTGACCTGAATAGTTAAGAATGAGCTGATGAGAAGAGATCAGATTGGAGGGCCCAGAACAATAAACTTTCATCCCCGACCAAACAAATGTGTTCACATTAAAAGGTCTGCATTTTTAAATCAAGCCTTTTCTCACACGCTACTGTAATTCATCTGCATTTATGTGTCAAATTCCATTTTACTCATTCAAAGTTTTACAGAAATGTTTGAAGAGATATATTTCTTATACCGACACTCCTCCCCTCTCTGTTCAAGTTAAAGTATACACAGTCTGGCCTTTTCCTTTGAATTGTGACCTGAAAGGTTTAGTGGTTGTTAAATAAATCACAGTGTGTGTGTGGAGGCATGAAATGATTCTTTCACCATGACATTTATCTCAAATGTATTTCCCCCCCTACTGACGCTGCAGCTCCACAGATGAATTCAGGAGGAAATGCTCATATCACTCCTGAAGGAATTACTTTCTAAATAAGGAAATGTGTTTCACCTTTGGGTCTCCGGTGGCGGCGCCAGTGATTCATGATAAGATCTTAGAGATTCATCTTTTTACATGGCTTTGACGATTGGAGAGTTTCTGATTTATTTACGTATCTTTCCCGTTAATGCATCACAGAGGCTTTCCAGAAGAGCTTTTTCTTCTGTTGGATAGTCCTTGACTCATACATGTTTGTGTTCCTCTGCTATGTGGTTAATCTTGCCTGTATCGCTGGCTTTACTGATTCTCTTAACGCTCTCTAGGAAAAAGAGCTGAAAACAACCCCGGCTGTGCATCGGCTCATATTTTGTCTCTGCTGCTGCATGAACTGAAAGTAGCCAAATAGACGTTCAGCCAATCTTCATGTGGCCATGATGACGTGGTAAAAGGAGCACAGCAGCATCTTGCAGGGTCACTTATATTATATATTGTAGTCGGAGTTGTTATCTGACAAATTAAGCTGAACTCTCTAATAAATCACAGATGTTTACACTTTTAAGGCGAAGTTAAATGTTTGCGATCTCTTTTTTTTCACCCTATTATCACCTTGTCATTAGATTAATGAATATGTTTAGGTGTACTGCGGTGTACATGATAGACCTACGATGTTCTCTGTGGCTATGAGTGAACCTAATGAAGCATGACAGAAGGCAAAGCTGTAAAATCATCAACTGCAAAATTAATTAGTCACATCAAAGGTGTTCTTCGATATTTAGTATGCGGGAAAGGTTAATTGCTAACGCTGGTTGCTCTCGGTGCTATAAAGCCTCAGAGTGTCCATGTAAAGTCAAACCAGAGGGTGTAAAATTTGTTGTAAAGGTTAGAGAGGCAGCAATGACGGACAAGGTTGTGATTGTTCATCCGAATCTCTGTCGACATTACACACGCATTAAACACAGTGCGCATTCGTCGGGGCGAAGACCAGAACGAGCAAGATGGAAGACTGAGTAAATGATGGCTTGTCAGGGGCAACAAGGCCTAATAAAATCACAAAGCTCAGGGAGAGAGATTCAGACTGGCCAGATGCAGAGAAACTGCTCTCATAAAAATTATAGCACAAAGTTATGGCCTAAGCAGCAGAAAATGGAGACGGCGTTCAACAGTGAATGAAAAGTTATTTTTAAAAAGTTAGCTCCACTCCATGGTTTAATATTAAAATCCTTGTGGACGGTTTTACTTCACAACAAGACAACACTCAAAAAAAAAAAAAAGACACATTTGACACAAAAAAAGAGACTGAAAGCAGAGATAGGGTGGGTGACTTTGTGGCATTTAAGAATATTGAAGAATCCTGAATGTCCTTTTCACAAGACTGTAGAAGAACAGAGTGTCTTTGGTCAGAGGCATCTGCAGATCAGCTGCAACACAGACCAGCGCAGGACATTCTTTCAGTAACATCCTTTTCTATCTATAATGACTATTTAAGCAGAGGTAGTGAGTTACCATGTCTAATCTCCCATTAGGATTAATAAAGTTTCTTTTATTATATTGAACATTCAGGCTTTCAACAAATAATGAAACTATGATAATTATTTGCACTACTTTAAACAAAGTGTGAAAAGTAAACATGTAAAATCAGTCATGTTGAGAAAAAAAATGTAAAAACATCAAAATAAAACTTTCTCCCACCTCATTTGACTTTTCTGACTTCATGAATTCTCCGAGACATTGACTCGGAGAATTCATGTCATTTGTCTTTAAAACGACTAAAACCTGCTCATCTAGTAATTAGCAGGTCAGGTTTGTATGAAACAACCTCATCATGCACCAATAAAAAAAAAAAAGCAAAAAAAAAACATCCCACCATTAATTTTCAATTGGACTGCTTCCTGTCACGTCCTGGAGTTGATTCTTTTTTCCCAAAGAAATGTTTAAATTCTCTCTGTTTGGTGGACAAATGTTCATCCTGACAAAATGACTTTATCATCACCAAACCTGCTGGACTGCCTGATCTTCACAGTTATTAGTTATTATGCCCATCAAATTCAGATACTTCTAGTTATAGAATAATCCATGTTAAGACAACGAGACAAAATCACAAATAACCACATGATGATGATAAAATTACCCTAACGTGGGAAAGGCCAAAGGATCGCCACACGCATTATCGTCTGTTGGCATCTGCATTAAATCTAGTATTACAGGTTAATAACAGACTAAAGTTTGACATCTCTGAGCATACAGAAACAATCCACAAAATCAAAATCCCTTACCTCAAACAAAAGGCAAAAAAAAAAAAAAAATAATAATAATAATTCTGGACGATCACACCTGTAGTTTTCTCAGGTTTTGGTCAAAAATATTGCTGACATGAACACGCTGCCCCATCGATTTTTCTTTAATGAAGTCGCTCCCTGTTCCTGTAACAGGAAGTCACACTTAAAAAGAAATGTTTTGATGGGCTTAAGTAACCTCACACCTTTTGTTTGAGCGATTTCCTTCCTGACGGGAGCTCACCAGTAGGTCATGATTAAGGGCTTTAATATCTCCACCTCTGATGCAGTCGTCTTACTGGAGCTCTCGGCGGCGTCCCGGTGTGCAGCACGGGCGACGCAGCTGTCTGCGACATGATAAATGCAGCGGCAGCACTCAGTTGCTCATTCATGTATGCTCAAAGAAGTCCTGTGCAGAGGTGGTGGTGATGGATGAGCCAAAACTTTGGCTGGGTGGCCCCAATCACTGAACAAGTCTTTATTTTTGCACACAGGTGCTCACTCTCTGTCATAAAAATAGTTTTAACACAGCTGTGTTTCTTATTGTTTAAGAAATCAGTGCTGTTTGCAGCAGTATTCTTTTTATATTACATTCCTTTTTATTTTTCTTACACAACATAATTTTTCTCCCTATCTGATCCTCTACAAGGCATGTGGGCAAACGTCTAAGAGCACAAGAAAAGGAGCGGTAGCATCATCCAATAGCATTCTACTGATTTATGAAGCTTTAACAAGGCGTGCAGTTTTTCAGCTGTTTCAAGGGGGGTCGTGATCTTACTAATTCAGAAGTAATGCCTCACATCTGAGTGACTTCACAATATATGATGAAGTGCTTGGGATTAATTTATTCTGATGCCTTTAATAAAGATATCTGCTGTAAAGATTATTGCACCGTCTTTGTTTTTTTCTCAACCTTCACTGCTGCATAACTTCCTGTAGACATAAATGGTCTGCATGCTTCAAAGTGGACAGTGGAGGTAGCACTGGTTTGTCAGTGGGATCAGAGACAGTGTCTCTTTTGGGGAATATACGCCTCAGATTTCTTCTGCAGATTTTTTTTAAATAAGCCGGGGTCAAGGCTTATTCTTTGGCCAGACTACAGTCACCAATTACCCCGGACGATAGACTGAATATTTACTTTGGATCCAGGGTTACTACATGATGCATTACCTTACAAAGATTCATTACCTTTCTCCGCCAGCAAAGAAATATGTCCTCACTAATGCAGCTGCAGTCACGGCAAGAGGACGACTTCCTTTGGGCAGAGTTTTTGTTAAAGCATGATGCCACATAGACACACACAGTGAAACAACTCCTCCTTCTCCTAGAAACCGACACGGCTTCATGGTTTTCAACGATAGTCAATATTTAAGCTATAAACAATTGTATGTGAGCATATTAAAGTTCTTTGAAAGAAAATAGCAGATCAGCGCTAAACGAAAACTGGATGTCATCCTATAGAAAAATGATTCCTGCTTCCTTAACCAAGATTGTAAGGAGTCCAGAACTGAAATTGTAGCCCCATATTGTATTGTACTGAATAGTATTCACCTGAATCTTAAAAAGATCTGAATGCATAACTTCATATTTATAGTAACATCCTGTAAAACATCTGGTTTTTGACGTCTCTTTAGTCAGCTAGACAACACAACACAGAAGTCCTACTTCATGCAAAAAAAAAAAACTTCTTTGGAAATTTAAACTGAATAAAATATATGAAAAATATGCATATTAAAAATAATTTTTAAAAACCCCCAAAACCCAATTTTTTTTTTTTCCCCCCCCCCCCCCGGTTTAGTTCCAGCTGTCAGAAGCTGTTGACGCCTCCCTGATTTTGCCTCAATCCACTCTGAGGAGCGTCTGACAGACAGCGCTCGCGCTGCCTGGACCCACATTTGAATAAGCCATTTGTGTTTACAATGTGAGCCAGCGCTCACACACAAACACTCAAAGAAAAAAAAATATCAGGGTGAATTTGTGGAAGCACAATGAGCGCACTTGACAGCGTTATCAGCAGTGCGCTGGTATGTTGACTTTATAATGTATAAGCAGTATAGCGGAAGATCAAGGCGAGAACGTTTCTTCGGGCTCATATTAGAGGTTGCATTGAGACAGTCAGTTTCCGGCTTTGATCTGCACTTTGGAAAGGATTGCCTGCCTGAATTCTTAAGAAAGACTTGACTAAGTGAACGCTGTGCAAAATGACAGATTTTGCACCCTTACATCCTCTCTTTGTATCCTCAAAAAAAAAAAAAAAAATTAAATTCAGACTGTTGCTGTTCAAACTGCACCGCCCTAACTACAGACTTTTGAACCTGTGTTTTCCTCCAAACACTGCAGCGTTTCATGTGAGTGTTGGGAACTAATTAGCGCAGTAGCAGGTGATTGATCAGATGTTTCACTGTTTACCTGACAGTGACAAACGGCTCAGCCTCCAGCTGTCGGGTTTGTCAGCTCGCTGTGAAGACGACTTGTACCCGGGCTCCGTCCAGCCTTGGCTCCTCGTGCAGCCCTACCGCCTGTCATCCCGCGTACTTGAAAAGTGTTAGCATCATTACAGATGGCCTCCGTAAATGCTGCTGGCAGAGGTATAACTATCTCCCATAACTTTCAGCTCTCGGTGGCAGATGCTTGCTGCCAGACCCTAAGATGAACAGTTATCATTTGTCACTTTTTTCTGTGGCTGCCACAGACCTGGATGCAGACCAGCCTGTGCTGCTCAGAGCAGAAACCCTCTGATGGTCACACACATCGTCTGCCAACCATAACCTGCCAAATCTGAAAACTTGTAAAAAAGAAAGTCTCTTTGGGTCACAAAAAGATCCAAAGAATGTCTTTAGGTCTCTTTCTAAAGGCGTGATCTAGATTGCCTTTAGATCATGCAATCTAAAGGCTTTTGATAAAGTCTGTTCTTCATATCTTTGTTGTAATTTTGTTGCAGAAATCCCTCGCCCACACTCCGAAATCCTGACCAGTGGTGCAGAAGTTTCAGCTATTTCATCAGCCAGTAAGTCTCATTAAAGCTGAAATGAACTTAAATGTTTTCTGTAGGTCTGCATGTTTTAAAGGAGGAAAAGGTTTTAGTTCCCTTTTCCATCACCAATACCATCTCCCTACCAAGCATGTTTTCACATCATCCATCCATTTTCTTTACACCCTTGTCCCTTAGTGGGGCCGGGAGGGGTGCTGGTGCCCATCTCCAGCTAACGTTCCGGGCGAGAGGCGGGGTTCACACTGGACAGGTCGCCAGTCTGTCGCAGGGCAACACAGAGACACACAGGACAAACAACCATAATGCACACACACACACGCACGCACGCACGCACGCACGCACACACACACACACACACACAGGTCAGGTTAATTGGAGAGGCCAATTAACCTGACAGTCATGTTTGTGGACTGTGGGAGGAAACCAACCGTCCAAAAACATTTATTGACGTTTTCACATCAAAAACATTTATTGACTTTTTCACATCAATAAATGAATAAAGAAACATATTTAGTATACAAACAGATAGCTCACAATAGTTTTTTTTTTCATTTCCAAGACTGAAATAAAGAAATTAATTCATAAGCTTGAGAGAAAAACAAAGCAAGCAGAAGGAAACTGAGCCTACAGCCAAGTGGTGCAGGAAAGTGTTGCTACGCTTAGAGTGCTGAAATTGGACATCAGTGCTTAAAATAATCTTCACCCAAGACAAAAGGAGCAACTTAAACTTAAATTCTGGCAGAATGTAGTAATTTCTGATCCTGTTTTGAGCGTCATTGTTATGTTGATAATGACATTGTTTATGAGCCATAGTTGATCTGGGTTTAATTTTTTTTTACATTAAATACTGAAATATAAGAGAAACACAAAGGTTAAAATAAATTATTTTGATCAAATGTTGCATTTTAGTATGTACATTTATATCTTCAGCATGAAAGATGCTGAAGATGGTGATAAAACAAGCTGGTTACCAGAATTTGATGATAAGTGATAACAAGATGCCATACATGTAACACTCTACAGTGAGGAAGTAGTTATTGAAGGAAAGAAAAACACTTTCGGTATTAATATACATCATACAAAATTAATATTGTTTTACTCTCATGATCACCACTAGAGTTGAGCTACAATGAATCATGATGCTAAAATAAATATTCAAGTATAAATAATTTAGTATGGGCATACATTATAAACTATGACCACATCGTATCCTTGTTTTTCTGCACTAAAAAGTTAAACATGAAACTATTTCACTAAAAATATTAATGAGTATTATTACTACTTAAGATCTGGCAGGAACGCATACGCAAACAGAGAAGGACCTGGATCTGGTATTTTATCACCGGATTATACCAACCCTCTCTTCTTTTCTCTTCTTCTCTTTTGTTGTCGTTCATCGGTGTAAATCTGCCACAGAGGAACAAAGAGATTTACCTGAGTTATCTGTTCAATCTGAGGCCCAGATAACTTATCATTTGCTCCGCTGTGCGAAGCTAATAATGTCAGGCTTGGCTCGTAGCGATTGCCTGGAATATACAACCTTAATATGTGACTCGGAGAGCACTGTTCGCCCGAGCCGTAATGAGAAAATAAAATTCAATTTGCTGACTTTGTATAGGCGAGAATTTTGCCTAACAGAATGTTTGTATGTAACAAAGAGCCAACCATCAGTTTTGAGGACTTTTTTGCATTTTTTTTTGTTTTGTTTTGATCAATCAGTTAATGGTTGATCTTTGTCACATTTCCCCTTCATGCATAAACTAGTAACCATTTGGTTTTAACATTTTTTGCAGTGCAGTTGCAGTGGGTTTAATTGATACTTTTTATTTGCAGGTTTGTAATTTGTATAACAGTTTCAACATTAATCTCCTTAGACAAAGCCCACTAAAGATGAATGCAGAGAGGCTGGACAATGTTATCAGTCTTTGCAGGCTGCTTGTGAAGCCTTTGCAACCATTGTAGGCCTGCATGCATATGTGTGTGAATGAGTGAGTGAGTGAGAGAGTGAGAGAGAGAGAGTGTGTTCAGGGGGCAGCTTGGGAAATGAGAGGAGGGATTCTGGATAATAAATCCATCACTGGTGTCTCCACTTGGGCAGCCAAAGAGCTGACTTGGTTGACAAAGTGGCCTTCCGCTCAGCATCCTGGCAGCACAGCCTGGCTAATAGCAACAACCTCTGCTTAATGCTCTAACACTAATGAATTCATGGAATTAGCTTTCAGAGCTGAACGAACTGATAAAAAAAAAAAAAACAGAATTTCTGCTGCGATTAGCTGAAAGCAATTTGACTGGTGAGTTTCCTCCCTCCCCCATCTCTAGCTTTAGCTTAACAATTGAGCACAGTCCAGTGGTGTTATCTTAAAGGAGGGGGTATTATGTAAAATGTAATTTTTGAGCTTTACATCATCTTATTCTTTCACGCATATATCTGAAGAATCCTTGAATCTCTCATGGCAACCACTCCGGGTGCCTAAACGCTTGCTCTCACAAAGCTCCTCCTATTGCCACAAAGCTCCTCCTATTGCCACAAAGCTCCTCCTTGGAGTCTCCTGCTGTGTTTCTGCCTCCTCCATGCCTTCTCCACTCAGCTCCTCTAGCATTAGCAGTAATTAGAAAACACCTGGTGGAAGTGTGCATGTGATGACCTCATCATACAAACTGTTTCACAGTCCAACGATCCTATTAATGGTTATAAATGACCTATTGGAACAAAGGCATTGTTGTGATGTCATGCTGAAGGTGGAGCGTCAGAAAGAGCAGGAGCTTCTTAAAGAGACAGGCCATTTTTAAGACATCAAACGGTAAAGTCAAATTTCTTTTATGTCATGTTTGACACACATAGCAATTTTGAGTTTAACAGTTACTAGATTGTGCTATAAAATGCCACAATGTGTAAAATACACAATATGATCCTTTTAAATCCTTTGTTGTCTTAAAGACCACCTTCAGATTAACTCAACTAAGCAGCATGTCTTAATTCTTAATAATTGTAATAATTTACATAGTAAGGAGTTTTTTTTTTCTAAAGAATGGACTTTGTCTGAACAGTGACTCTGTGATTTATTCTGTGTAAGGCTGCAGAAGGATTTGCTCACCACAAACCACAGCTAATTATCATGAACATTCAGGGGGACCATTCAGAGAGAGCTGTTGTTGAGTTGATCTTAAAGCAATCCCTACATAGCAGCAGATGTTTTGTAGTTTCAGAGGACACCTTAGAGGTAAACAAAACAAAACCCCCCACAATTTATTTGTTTTTTCTAAAAAAGAAAACAGATAAATTTCTTTATGTGATCTATTTCTTCCATGCTTTTAAGATTTTCTGGTTTTGTGACTTTGAAATATGATCAAATTTACGCTTTTTTGGATGAACTAAGCCAAGTCTGATTTTCCTTTGTGACACACAGTCTAAAAAAAAAAAAAAAAAAATTCAACGTGGTTTTCAGCGACTTTAAGGGGAGAACTTGTGTCTGACACAACCTGAGAAAGGGCAAAGAGAGATATTAAAAATGCTCTGTGTCTCCCTGGCAAACCGTTTGTCCAATCTGTCTGCTGATCTTAGAGAAACTCAGACTTGTTTCAGACTTCTTTCAACAATGCTCAAGTGATTCTCCTAAAGATTTATAAACGCCGAAATAATTCCTTAGTTTCCTAATAACTGTGTTTTTTTTCTGATTCTAAGGTGTTTGATAAAGGACTTTGAGGCCCGTCCATCTGTGACCCACCTGCTGGAGCATCCCTTCATCAAGCAGGTCCATGGCAAGGATGTAGCTCTCAGCCAGCAGTTAGCAGATCTTATCAGAGAGCAGCAAGAATTTGGGTGCAGAACCAGAACCAGGTAAGTCTTTAAAAAACAAAAATAATAAAAAAAAACGATTTCCTAAAGTGTCTGTGCAGAAAAAATGGTGAAAAATCTACACTGCCTCTGTTGGGTGTTGAGTTCTCTGCTTCAGCTGCAGGGGGATCAACTGAGTGCTGTTATCAAGTCTGACCAGTAGGGGGCAACCTCTCATCTTGTTATGTTCAGGCCGCATGGAGATGAGACACGGCAACGGATATTACAGTTTGTGATTAAAGATAAGCTCAGAGAGTATGACTAATTCAGAAAGAGTGATTGTGATGACTTACTTGAAATTAATAAAACCAATTCAGTTAAATCTGTGTTCAACTATTTGTCTGGTCCACTCAATTAAGCCCCTGATTGGAGGAATAAATATTAGCTTGAAACCATATGGGATTTTGCGACAATAGCTAGTGAGCTAGTTATTGGTTCGCAGGCCTGCAGGATCCACATATGAATACAAGAGATTTCACGAGGTTAAAGCTTCGCTCAGAGACTCACAGGGCAGCAAATGACAGCGCAAACTGTGACCATATTACTGGAGGAATACTGACTCTGGCAGTGCTTAATCTTTATTATAAAAGAGTTTGCTGAAGCTGCCCTTGACTGAGAGTCCTGATGCCTTGCCAGCTCTGTTTACTCCCGAGAGCATGCAGAGTTGGTGCCTGAGCCTGATCCCGAATTCCTGTCCACAGTGAAAGTGGATAATGGGATTAGGAGCTTGTAGGGCGAGAACTGGGCTCGCCCGGTTTAGTCTCCCATGCCACTGATCGTCGAACAATGAAGCAGATAAGAATAAGAAAGACGTAGGGAACTTAAAAGTAGCTGCCGTAGGTGGAATAGCGTTGGTTTACTTCAAAGCGGGAGAGAGTCAGACGCTGGAGGACTCGAGTCCTCCTCCAACGGGACACGAGGACAAGGAGTCACTTCTTAGGGAGCACATGCCAAGAGTATTTCCCCACTGCTGCTTCTTCTGCTGCACCGAGACTGAAAAATTAAGACGAAGGCAGAGGAGGAAACATTCACTAACCTGGAGCTAGAATATTTTCTCTCTTGTGATTGATTATTTATTGTAGTAGAATATAGATACAGCTGGTGAATTGAATATCATAAGATATGTTGTGATTTTAATGCATTCTTTCAGAATTTAATTTCATAACTCACAATCTGCTGCTGTGCTGTGAAAAAGTTTAAAGTTTTTTTTATGTTTTGGCTGCTTCGTTTTTAATTTTTTTACTTGTTTAAGATTATTAAAATGATGTAATATCAGACAAAGAAACCTGAGTAAATACAGAAAAGTACTTATAAAATTATAACTTGGCAAGAAACAAAAGCTATTCAGATCAATCTGATCCTGTATGTGAAAAAAATATTCCTTACAACCCGTTGACAGCAACAGATGTCATTTGCAAGAGTTAGCAAAAACACTCGTCTTTGCAGAAGTGTTTTAATTCAGACCAAAGTTCAAATTTATGGTTCTACCAAGTACAGCTTTTTACATTCAGGAGTTTGATAAAATGAACATTCAGGCATCTTACAATGACATCTGAACTAGTTAAACTTAAAAAAAAAAGATGGTTAGCTCTCGTGATGTCTTGTTTTGTCTAAAATGAGTCGAATACAGCTGCTAATGACTTCCAAAAAAGAAAAAAGGAAATCTGTCTGCAAAGTCACCATCACTTGTTCTGGTATGAAAACTGAATTTATTTTTGCAGAGTCATTGAATCTAACAGCGGCACTGGGTGTTGGAGAGTTTCTGGAGATAATAAATCAGAATCTGAAGGTTGGTTTGCGGGCTCTATATTTAACTTCAGAACATCAATCCTGGCACTCCCGGCATTAAGACGGTTTCCATTATTTTCACAAGTGGTGGTTAACAAAGATGTCGCAAACAAATCGAACACAGCATGCAGCAGTCAGACTGTTGTGTTTTGATGAGCAGAGATGTTTTAATTAGCTCTCATACGAAAATCTGCCCAAAATCTAGACTCTTTTAAAAGTCGCTTGTTCTTCAGGTACAAAGTCCTGCAGCCTGTTATCATTTTGGCCGTCCTGTTGAGGATCAGTGGACCGCTGATCAATCAGACCATTCTGAAGACTGTAAATGTTCATCTGCATTAGTGCTTTGCCAAATGATTCTGCATGTAGTGAGGACAAAAAGCATATACCGCCTTCTGTTTGTTTCTGTTTGATGAACAAACTGAAAATGTTTTTAATAAAACAGAAACTGATTACAGACCGAATAGGATTTGATTTGCTTTTTCTATTTGGATTGAAATTATTTAGTGAATTTCATCTTTCGATGTCCGTGTTTGAAACAACCTGTGCCGTACTTGTCCTCTTTTTCATGTTACTTTGATTATAACATCTTTTTACGAAGGCCAGTCGTTTCTTTCCCCTTGTTACAATTTCTTTTTTCACAAATTTGTTCATTTTTTTATTTTTCTATCTTGTTAATTTTTTTTTTGTTTCTTATTTAAATGAATCAAATTAAATTCTTTTGGTATGCATTTCTGTTGCCTTCATTTTATAATTTATATCGACAGCGATTTTTATCGACAGCGATTTTTTAAAACAATTTCATGATTTTTTATTTTTTTTTTACCCTGAAACCATGAAAGACAACAGAGTCACGTCGAGACTTGCAAATAGAGCCTTAAAAAAATCAGTGAAAGAAGTCCATATTTAGGTTATGACTTGTTTTTAAGAACAGTGTAACTTTGTCGGCGGCTCTGTGCGTCTGAAACAGAAAGTTATGAACATGAAATCATCAGACAGCTTCCTCCCTGCAACACTGCAGCTTATTGGCTTGTTATCCAGCAACAAATGATCTACTGTGTGAAAATAAATCATGTGAGGCTGCAGCTGCACAGATTCATCAGCGTGATGGATTCATTGTTGGTTTCCTTGTTTCTCTCCGGGAATCTGTTGACATCATAAAACACCTCTGTCTTATGAATTTAATGGAAAAGGTTGATTGCTATTAGATTGCAGTTCCTGTGTATTCCTACACTGTGGGAGGAATCTGAGTCACACCTCTGCTTCACTCTTTCTCACATTCACCGGGTGTCCCTGGAGGTTTTCATGGAGCCAGCTGGCTGCGTGTTGACCTCCGGCCTCATGGGTCTTGTTGGAGAGTAATAGGTCAAAACACAGATGAAGAGCAATCACAGCTGGTTTTACTGGGAGATGAGTCCCCTGGGGGAGCTTTATAGAGGCCTTCGATGTGACCGGGGCTCAGATTCAGCCGTCAAACTACTTTTGGTGTCCTGTTGCAGCTTGTAACATATATCGTGTCCTTTATTTCAAACAGGCACAAGCGGATTAATACTCGTAAAACGCTGGTAATTGAAAGCTGCCCTGACGACGATCTGGTAAACCTGGAGTTTCTGGACGAGGTAAAGTTGCATTAAACTGGGATTAGTCAATTCTGATCATTTTCATTTCTAACACAGCTTGACTATTCTTTTTTTCTTTCTAAAGGAGATAATAATCAGTCATCTCCAGAAGCGGTACGATGAGCTTCAGGTCTACACTTACGTTGGCGACATCCTCATCGCTCTCAATCCTTTTCAGAACCTCAGCATCTATTCTCCTCAGGTTGGTGGAAAAACATTTTCACATTTTCCCAGAGATAAATGTTCGAATCGAACAGATTAAAAAAAACAAAAAAAAACACAATAATACTATGAGCTGATCATTTCACATTTTTACCATTTTGTGAATTTAGAGTTTTGGATGTTTTGTGCCTGACTTTTCAAGACTTGAAAAGGAGGCGTCTCTCTCTGATCAGACGTTTATAGTGATATTCCAGTTCATTCTTAACAAACACTGGTTCTTAATTTAGTTCAGACAGGTTTAAATTATTGATACATGTTTATAGTTCCCCACTTACCCATTTGAAGTTTCACAGCTTCAACACAGACAACTTATTGTTAATGTATTATGTTTGGTCTGAAATAAAGTTTAAATGTATAAAGATGCGACTCACCAATTAGTATACTGATTATAATCTGTTTTATCCTCTCCTATTGTCTTTGCACTAAGTTTATTTTATAGTGTCTGAACTGCCCCTGTTCACATATTTTAATGTTTTTGTCATTAGAATACAGAAAAAGTTAAATATTTGAACTAAAACGCATCACATATAGTTTTAAAATACCATTCATTCAGAGCAGACTTTTTTTTTTTTGGTTTTGTTTCGAACCTTAAACTTCTATTGCACATAACAAACTTGAAGTGAGCTGCTTTCCCAAAAAATAGATAAAGATAAATAAATCAGGATCAACACGTTTAATGATCTCTAAACTATTGTGCTATGGAGACGATGGAAACACAATTTGACAAGTAATTTTAACCATTTTCTGCAATCTGCCCTGCTATCAGGGAAGTTGACCTGTCATGTCTGGCCCAAACTGGGATGAAAACCACGACATTGCAGACTTTTTGAAAATTGTATGTATGTGACCTGCACCTTCTTATAAACTGTTTCGTTTTTCTTCTTTAGTTTTCTAAGCTGTATCATGGCGTAAAGAGAGGTGACAACCCTCCACACATCTTTGCCACAGCAGATGCAGCGTACCAAGGAATGGTGACTTTCTGCAAAGACCAGGTCCTCTGGAGGAATACAGTATTACATATTGATATAAAAGTTTAAGTTCATCCTGTTGGACTGAAATGATCAATTCAGACTATATATGTGTTATTTTTTCAGTGTGCGATCTTAAAAGAGACATACACTGAGCTATGAGGCCATTTCAGTCTGTAGGGACAGAATATCAATGCAGGAAGTTACCCCACTCCTCTCCTTCGTACAGAAACAGCTCAAAGCTTCAGCTCCCTCCTTAGGTTTTAGACAAGCCTGTAGCATGAAATGCAAATAAATAGTTACATTTTATGCAGTTCATTTGGATTTTTAGCTAAATATGTCTCTCTACATAATAACAAAAGGCTGCTTTTTTTTCCAACCAAACTTTTATCTTCCCTGTTGTGTATTTTATCCCCCCCCCTTTTTTTGTATTCTCTTGTAAAGTTTAAACTTTGCTGATTTTCTACAACATATGTAAAAGCAGCTGGCCCACATTGACGGTGTGGACTGTAGTCTTGATAGTTTGTCTGTTAAACCATGAAAAAATGTCCAAGTTGTATATTGGTTGACAATTTGTTTTTGCTGTTCTTTTAGTGCATCATCATTAGTGGTGAAAGTGGAGCAGGGAAGACGGAAAGTGCTCATTTGATTGTTCAACATCTTACCTTCTTAGGAAAGGTATTTTCTCACATGATCAATATTTCTCACTGGACAGTGTTTACCAAGCAATCTGTTATTCCCTCATGCAAAACTGAGAATGCACTCGATGTTTCTCTCAGGCAAACAACCGGACTCTGCGGGAGAAGATCCTGCAGGTCAACCCTCTGGTCGAAGCCTTCGGAAACGCCTGCACAGCCATCAACGATAACTCCAGCCGGTTTGGTAAATACCTGGAGATGAAGTTCACACCGACTGGAGCCGTCATCGGGGCAAAGATCTCCGAATATCTGCTGGAGAAATCGCGGGTTATCAAGCAAGCAGCGTGAGTGAAACCTTTAACTCGCCGTATATTTAAATTTGTGTTACGCTTCTAACAAATGTTTGATGTTTGCTCTTGATTCAGCGGGGAGAAGAACTTTCATATATTTTACTACATGTACGCCGGGCTTTACCACCAGTCCAAGCTGAAGACTTACAGGCTGCCGGACAGGACGCCTCCTCGGTTTGTGCTGCAGTTTTATGTGCTGATACGCCGAATTTATGCCTGGCTCTGACATGTTTCTTAAAAATAAAATCACAAGTGTGTGAACCTTTTTCCAAACCTGGCTTTAACATAAAATGTTGTAAAACATTAGGTGCTCACCCCCTTTTATATTTTTCAGTTTTTTTTAATTTTTTGTCACACCAAAATGTTTTAGATCATAAAGCACATTTTAATATCTGACAAAAAATATTATGGTAAACTTACTTTTATAACTTAAGAATGGGCCTGTTACTCAACTTGGACCAAGTTGAGTTGCTAACTATTTTCCTTATTAAATGTACCATTTAAATACTGATGGAAGCTGCATGATATTAGGAAAATGCATCAGTCATAATACATACTTTTTAGACTCTTTTCTTTCTTTTAGTTTTGTTTTTATCACTTCCACTATTAAAAATGTACATGAAGTGTTAGCATTGCGGGTAGTGAAAGTCTAGGTAATAAAATGCTAACATTTAAAATTTATTTTTTGGCACTGAAGATAAAATATTTGGTGTAATACTGGTTTGCAATACTCCATACATGGATATTGCAACAAGAGTTGTGACTATACATTTCTTGTATTTGCTCAGTTATCTGTGTCTGATGTAATTTTTTTTTTTTACATTACCTAGCAAAATTTTGAGTGAAAAGAGAAGAAACCTGTAACCCGTTCTTAGATTTGTTTTTATTTTTCCATTGTGTTGTTTCTCTTTTTGACAACATCATCAAACGCTGACATGCGTAACTTTCCTGGTATTGAAACTTGACATCTTCTCTCATAATCGCTCTCTCTCTCTCTGCAGGTACATTGACAGTCAGCAGAGCAAAGTGATGCAGGACATTGTCTCGAGGAAACAGTACAAGGAGCAGTTTGACGCAATTCAGGAGTGTTTCAGAAACATCGGCTTCACAGAAGAAGTACTTTGCACGACTTAAATACTTAAACGTGTATTTCCTTTAAGTGCCACGATAACTGGGTTCTCTTTCATGCTTTTCTTTTCATAGGAGGTGAACTCTGTTTACAGGATTCTGTCAGGCATTCTGAACACGGGCAATATTGAGTTTACTGCCATCACGTCTCATCACCACACAGATAAGAGTGACGTGCCTAACTCAGAGGCCTTAGAGAACGGTGAGACGCAGCAGCTCGGCTCTCTGTCTGTAACCACGATCTCCTGTTTTCAACGAAACCATTTGAAACTTGTTTAGATGAATGATTGTCAGGCACTTTCTTTCTAAAATGTGTTACGGCACATTGGAGCAACGCATACCACAAAAAGAAAAAAAAAACAAAAAACTATAGTGTAGAAAACAGAGCAACAACACAGTTGAAAGTTGAAACATTTCACAAACATATCCATCAAAATTATGGATGCTACTATTGTGATTATTTATGTCTTTGCTCCTTCTACATAAAATTTGCAAAACTGATAAGTCTTAACTGATTACTGTAAAAAATGGATAAAGTTTTATTATCAAAGAAAATGTGTTTAAATGATTTTATGACACTTGCTTTTGGGCTTTAATGCAAAGTGATTTAAGAATAACAGAAAAAAAGTGTTTTTGATCTAAATGTTCAGCTTGCAGGACATAAAAGAAACAGCTATCCGACCTAATGAAGAGATCACAGAACAAAAAATATCTCTCACTATATTGATTTTCCGTATTCTGTAGGAGACAGAAGAGCTGTTTAGTCTGGTGTATCCCTTTTCTTTCTATATAAACAAAATAATTCACAAAACATATTTTTCCTTCAGGACAAATTTACAGCAGAAGTACAAAAAACATCCCTCTGACAAAAGAAAAAGAAAATTAAACCAAAAGACAACAGTTTAGCAAAAACCTTACAAAATTACTAGTGTATTTATTAGTGCTTTCATTTTATCTTATATTATATCAGATCAGATTATGATAATATGATATGTTACATTATTTTACATTATTACATGTGTACTATACAGTATACTGTGCAGAGCTTAAAGAGGCAGGGATGACCACAAAGCTTTAGACCCGTTTAGATGGGCATCTAACAAAAGAAGACTAAACAATGTAAACTGAGGGTTGAAGTGTATAATTGAGTTTCCGTCACCGATAAAAACGACTTATCTCAGAGACGCCACATACTGTAGCTCAGTGGTAGGGCTGGCACACCATAAGTAGTGGCTGCAGTTGTCCACAGTTCGATTCCCGGCACCTGGCCATTTTAGAACGTACTTGTGTGTAACAATGTTTTAGTAAAAACTCATTTGACACAGACTTATCTGAACAAAAGAGGACTTTTTACAAACGAGCCCATTGCAGATCTTCTCAACGTTCCTGGAGAAACCAAAGTCGATAGAAGAGCTTTATAAGAACTATTATCATAGTGTTTTTATATGTGTATAGGCAGCGCACAAATGGCTTCCCACATTTGGATTCATTACTCTAGAACCAACTACTGTTCAGTCTTCTATTGCACACACTTCCCACAGACGGAGTCCCTCAGACTGTGTTGAAAATTATTTACACGCTTGTGTGAATATACAAATTTCATTATATATTGACACATGCATGGGTTGTTTGTAGCCTCTTTTATATTTACCAGTTCCTTCTCCCCACTATTGATCACGTCTGAAACATTTTTTACCGAAGCAGAATGTAAATGTGGGTGAAATATAAAAGACTTTCAGTTTATGATGATCCTCCTGAAGCAAAACCACGCCTTTCTGAATGGCATTATGTGCTTTATTCAAAAGACAAATCTTATATTTAGATGAAAATGATTGTTCAAATTACCTTCGTTTTCAGCTGCGTCTCTGCTCAGCATCGGCTCCGAGGAGCTCCAGGAAGCGCTGACCTCTCAGTGCGTGGTCACAAGAGGCGAGACCATCATCCGCACCAACACCGTGGACAAAGCCGCCGACGTCCGAGACGCCATGTCCAAGGCCTTGTACGGACGCCTCTTCAGCTGGATCGTCAACCGCATCAATTCGCTGCTGCAGCCCGACATGAAGATCTGGTGAGAGTGTGTGTACATCTGTGAAGATGTCAATGCCACCTTTGTTGATTGTCTCAGACGCCGGCGCAGAACCTCTGCAAAGCCCCGATGACCTCTGCGGACGTCTGCAGGGGAGGATGCAAAGATGCAGAGGAGAATATCAATGGGCACGCACAAGACAAGCAAAAGAAGAGCAAAAAAAAAATAGAAGTTTTAATAAATTTTTGATACAGAGTTGCGTGCGGAGAAAATAATGTTCAGATGATTAAAAAGACTTCAGAGAGACTCCAAAGAGGCTCTTCATTGATCCAAAAGAATTCCTTTATAAATATGAGCATTGAGTGTCAAAGAGTCGTCTCACAGAAATGAGGAGAAGCCAGAGTTCCTGTCTAAATTCAGCTCATCTTTTCTGATTCCTTATTGCCTGTAATAACTGGGCAGAGCAGGCTTTTAAGGTGACCTTTACTTCATGTGGGGAATGACTGATTAAGAATCAGGAGCATGAATATAATGCAAGATATCGTTCAAAAACATGTTAACTCTTCGACCGTGCTGTAACATTGTTTTGTTTGTGCAGACTCTGAAAACACTCTGAGGTTTGAGACTGAAACAAAACCAGTCACAGAGCTTTTATAATACCCGATGTTTGTGATTTCTTCCAGATCCGACTCTGTATATGGGTTGAACTTGGATTATCATTAAAGTTTTATCAATTATTACGGCTGCTGGGGGATTTGCAGCTTCCTCCAACACAGAAGAATAAGTTTGTTTGTCCCGCTTTTCTCCTTTGAAGTGCCGCAGAGAGCTGCATGAATGTGGGAATCCTGGACATCTTTGGATTCGAAAACTTCAAGAAGAACTCGTTTGAACAATTGTGCATCAACATTGCAAATGAGCAGATCCAGTTTTATTTCAACCAGCACATATTCGCCCTTGAGCAGGTGAGTTTTTCCTGCAGAAAACCGTCATGCCAATACACTTTGCAAACACATTTTAGCTCGAGATTCTCTCCTAATGTGTTGTGAGTGAAGAGCCATTTAAACAAAATGCTGTTTTGAAAATAACTACTTGTACTTATTTATTTGTTTGTTCGCAACATGACATCTCGCTTATTTGTTAGCATACACTTGTGCTCTACAAAATTACTCTTAATTGACTTAATGAAGCTGTTTACTTTGAAGTGTGTCAAGCTTTTGCTTTGCTTGATGGAAATGAATAGACGTTAATCAAGGAGCCTTTTAATACAACGCCTTTAAGTTAACATTAACAGCTGTTTCTCCAAGGTAAAGTGAAAGTTGTTGCTTTGCTTATTAACAAATACTGAACTAAAGCACAAGCCACAGGATGTGATTCGTTGCTTCCAGTCTCTTGTCCTCTGCTCTGCTTAGTCTTTAGTATTTATCTATAGCAGCAAGATTAAAGTACTATGTTTGTAAAAAAAAAAAAAACCCCCCCCCCCCCCCCCTTGGCTGTTATTTTATTACACTGATAATATAAAAAAAAAAACACAAA